TTGCTCTTCCTCCAGGATGTCATATAACCCTTTCTAGGTTTGATCTTCACATAAAAGCCCACTTGGCCACCCTGTCTAAAACTACATGCCCCACACCCTGTCCCGCTCTATTTTGATCCTAGAAGCTATTAGATCATATACCTTATGAACCTAGTTTTTATTTATGACACTGAATTTTAAGTTATCTAACACAGTAACATGATTTGTGTGTGTTTTCAACACTGATTTTATGGGTCCTTACACTGATACCATTTGGAAATTTTCATGAAGACGTGGCTCTTAAATTATTTAAATTATGTAATTATTATTTAATGTTAACTATTTTATATTTTCCATTTTCAAAACTAAAACTAAATATTAAAAAATTTAGAAAAATGACAAAGCAAACAAACAATTCAAATAAAAATACTTTAATTAGTTTGGAATTGGCTAGATTCTAGGAGATATTTGTCCCCATCAAACTGAAGAATAACTGATATATTTTTGGCAATTTATAGCAAGTTCATTATTCATTATGTTTTACATACTTACTGAGATATAATGCATGCGCCATAAAATGTACCTATTTGAGGTAAACAATTCAATGGTTTTTAGTATGTCTGTGAAAACATTAGCACAACCAATTTAGAATATTTTCATCTCCCATGGTAAATTTCTCCCATGTTTTTTAAGTTGGTAGACATTTGAGTTTCTTCTTGTTTGGTTTTTTTGTTGTTTTATATTGAGGTGAAACGCACCTCAATATAATACTATGTACATATGCATTCTATGCAATTCACCCCCCTTTAAATGTAATTTTAGATACTCAATGACTGTACCATCGTAATCACTAATCTTAGAACATTTCACCATCCCAAATAAAATCTCGTATCCACTACTCCTCATTTTCCCTTTCCCAGTTTCTGGAAACCAAGGATCTGCTTCTATTTCTAGAATTTCGTTATTCTGGATATTTCACATCAATTCAAACACACCTGTGGTCTTATGTTTTTTTTTATTTCCTCTCCTCATAGCACATATGAATTATTCAATATGAATATTTCCATTGTGGTATTTCCATACACACATGTAAAATACTTTTATTGTATTCACTTTCTTTCACTTATCTCAATGTGACTGACTCCTTTCACATGCACATCTTAAGGTTGGTCCATGCTGCGGCATTTGTCAATACCCTGTCTCTTTTATGGCTGAAAAACATTCCCACTAATTAGCTGATGGGCATTTGCATTAATAACTACTTTTTGGCTATACTGAATAACGCTACTATAAATATTCAGGAAACAAGTTGTTACATGATGAATATAATTCAGCTTTCTTGAATATATACCTATAAATAGAATTCCTGGGTCATATGTTAACACAATATTTAATAGTTCGATGAATCAGGAATTTTTTCCAAAGTGACTGCGCTATTATTTCACATTTCCATCAGCAATTTATCCATCCTCAAGAAAAGAGTAATGTGAAGGAGGTGAACTTGATCAAAGTACACTATATGCCTTACATGCATACATTTATTAGCATAAATTATTTGCACAAAAGGGTTTCATGTGAAACCCTTATTATTCTATTATACTAATAAGTGAAAAAAGCCCCATCTTCTACATATGTGTATGTTCCCCAATCTTCAGTTTCCTCTTCCTGATAAGCTATAGAAAAAGAGACAAATGTTGGTGCCAGTATTTGGGGGAACTTCTACTTCAGAGCTCTGGCTAATCTCTCAAGGTTACAGAAATGTCCCTAATAAGAAACTCCTTACTCCTACAATGTGAGGTTACAGTGATACTTTCAAACACAAACCACAGAGACTCACAGGCTGTGGTTCATGGGCTTAGATACCACTGGGAAGCTCACTGTATTATCAATTGGTAACAACTTGAATAAATCAAGCATTGTATTAAAGCTTGGATTTAAAGCTCATTTGATTCCTTTCCATACATGGTGAGTGGAGTTTACCAAATATTTCCAAAAAAAAACCCACAAGTGGAAAGCACATAACAGAGGATGCTGGAAGTGCTAGAAAATTATATCAAAGAGACAAGCATTCAGGGTGGGGGGAAAAGCTCTAAGAATCATGGAACTTTAGTAATACAATGATGTAAATTTTCTCAGCTATAGAGGAAAAGTGTTGGGGCAGAAACATTTTGTTTGAGACAGGTGCATTCATGTTTTAAATTATAAAGTGAAATGATTACCTGTCAGTGGTAAGTAGATTTTAACAAAAGCACTGTTAATTATTAATTATATAATTATTAGCACTGTTATGACAAAAGGATATACAGGTTAAATTTAATAGCTAATAATTAATTTGAAAGAGTGCAAAATAGCTGTAATATCCAGCTTTGGTAGAGGTTATTAACATTGAAGAGATATTGTACAAAGTCTTAAGACCACCTAGACTATATGCCTAGTATTAAAAATTGATGTAATTGTTTCAAAATACTCACCTGTTAATTTTCCTTGGGAAACTTGTTTTGGTGTGTGTGTGTGTGTGTGTGTGTGTGTGTGTGTGTGTGTGTACTTTCTCTTATGGGCATTTCAGGGTTATATAACTACTATCAACTTTGTTTTTAGTAATTTAACTGTTTGAACTTGTTTTGGTGTGTGTGTGTGTGTGTGTGTGTGTGTGTGTGTGTGTGTGTGTGTGTGTGTACTTTCTCTTATGGGCATTTCAGGGTTACATAACTACTATTAACTTTGTTTTTAGTAATTTAACTGTTTGAAATAATAAACTCAATTTTATCTATCATCTAATTGTCTGAATCCACTTGTAAAAGATCAGATCTTCCCTAAGCATGTTGTGCATAAAACACATTATTGCTTAAGCAGTGTTTTACTTCCATACACCCTTCCCAAAAGGACTCTTCAGAGCATGTATGCAGCTGTCTCCCTTTTCCAGTGTGAGGTAGCTACAACCTCTCCCCCACATTCCAGGATATTGTTTGCCTTAGCAAAGTTGTGATCAGAACTTGGATTCCTCCAGTCAGCACAATATTCCTAGGCTGCTTCACTCAACTACAGTGAGTGTAAGCTCCAAACTAGTCAAAAGTCACAATAAAATTAACAAGACAAAAAAATCACTGTGGAAAAAATAAATCTGCTGCTCTCCTCTCCTAAAATAATATCCTGAAATGAAATATATTGTTTTTAATTAATACTATACATGAAAGCCTTTACTGAAGAATAAGTGACACATTTTATTTAAAAAGTAGCTATTAACACTAGTCCAAAAGCCAATTATTTGGAATATAACAGAGTCCTTTCCTGAGAATACTTATTTGTGAGTATAAAATGTTATGAGTTTCTGGGCTGGGAAGGTGGCTCAGTGGTAGAGTGCTTGCCTTGCATGCATTAGGCCCTGAGTTCAATTCCTCAGCACCACATAAGTAGAAAAAAAAAAAAATGGAAGTGGCGCTGTGGCTCAAGTGGTAGAGTGCTAGCCTTGAGGTGAAGAGCTGAGGGGCAGGGCTCAGGCCCAGAGTTCAGGCCCACGACTGGAACCCCCCCCAAAAAAAGTTATGAATTTCCAAATGTATATTTTTTAAAAAGAAAAAATAGTGTCACTAGGACAAAAATTCTGTATTGAACATTTATGAATAGCAATACTTCTAAATGAAATGTATTGTTTTAATGATACTTAGACCTATAGAATATATATCTCTGAGACAGAGACATCTAATAATTTCACTTCAAAATACTCTATGCAAGTACCTATTATTCCTCTGGAAGTACGCACGAGTCAATTACTTGATGCTCCCTCATTAAGGCTACCTGGGTGAGTGAAATACATGTAAGCATCTAAGACTTATTTACAAAAGGTAGCATAAATTGATCCCTATTGCCGTCTGAGGGAAGACAAGCTTTTACAAGCCAGCTCTACCTTCAAAATGATATCTCAAAAGTCACAGTACTGATTATTGCTCCAAACAGCTCACAAGAAACATCAGAATAAAAACTATCAAGATTAAATTCTTCTTCAGAGTTAAAAGTGAAATTTATTACAATACAATAAGTACAATAATACAGTAAGTGTCATGATTAAGAATGTTAATACAAACACTAGAAATAACAACTTTTAAAATTCTGTATCTACAGACAACATTGAAGATAGAAAAACCATGCACAAGATTAAAAAAAATAAAAACAAAAACAAGTCTAATTGCACAGCATCCTTCTAAGGCTCACTTCAGCCTTCAGTCCCAGCATCCCAGCAGTACATGAAGGTGTGCTGATTACTCAGATCAAACCCAAAGTGGAAGTGTTTACAACGTCTATCGTGTATCATACATTAATGCTTAAAATGTACGTTTTAAAACTCATTGGTTGTATTCTCATCAAGTGGTTTATTTCTCACGATTCCTTTTACCAGTAGATGTTAAAATAACAAAAAATGGTTAGAAGCCATCATTATACTAATGATTCATTTAAAGCAGTATAAAGTTTTATGTAAAGATGATCAGTATATCAACACATGAATAAAATCAAGCAGTATGCAGTCTTCCCTCTGCTTGTTCAACTGGCTCCCATATCTCTTTGAGAAGAAGCCAGAACCACGTGGAGGTAAGTATCACACCCAGCAGAAATGATGAGGAGAGGGATGGGTTGATACTAGAAAGGGTGGAAGTGTGAGATTTCAAAGGGAAATGAAAAAGTATGGCCTATCTGCCCTTCCCTCTTCCTACTAAAGCAGTGGCTGCTTTCAGCCCCTCCTCCCTTTCTCGACTTCCAGTGCCATGCTTGGTTATTCCCTGCCCTGGTGCTGGAAGGCAGCCTCTGCCTCTCAGATGATATGAAGACACATCTGTTCCTTACACTTCCCATAGCTCTGACCATTGACAAACATGAAAGGGAGTTTGAACGCATCCTCACCATTCAGGCAGGCAAGACGCTTCTTGGTTAACACCCAGAGTGGTTGACCCCAAGGGAAGACAAGGGAGCTAGATACCATGTCTACTCCTCTAGGACTGAGCTTCTCCAACTTTAATAAACTTAAAAATCTCACCAAAATGCACAGGGTTGGGGGTGGAGCTCCTTATACTTTTTCAAATAAACTCCTATGAGACCCTTGATGCTCATGGTCTGTGAACCATATTTTGAGTAGCAAGAGTCTACAACAGAGAAAGCAACTCTGCCTTTCTGGGCTATAAAGAGACCTGCTTTCTGCTACCCAAGCACAGCACAGACTAAAAGGTAGATGCCCTGCATAAGTGAGTAGTTATCTACAAGACTGTGTTAATACATTTGCTGAAAGAATCCTGACTATAGGAATAGCTAAAAAAAATGACATAATTCAACTTGAGTAAATGCAGAGGTCTGTTTTCAGGGAATAAGACTACTCCATTGCTTGGGAAGTTTTCCTCAAAATGATCATGATATAAAGGTATAAAATAGTCAGCATACTAAATTCCATAGTCAGCAAGTTAATTAATAAAGTGCCACATGTGCACACATATACATAGAGTACAAATACTAAGAAATTCAACACTTATTCTCAGAACCAAGGGCTACCACTGTTCCCAGCTAAAATCATCTCCTCTTCCAAATACAAGGAAAAAGCCTTGAATTGTAAGGAAAATGACAGCATTGCCTGCCAGCACAAGGCCACAAGCTCCCCATTTGATCTGAAACACAAAAGAAAAGAGGGATTAAATCCTGACTTTCTTCATACTGTGTTCTTTTCAAATCTTTTATTGTCTGCATTAGAAACCACCAATGAAATACGGCACAGTGCTGCTAAAAGGCTGAATTATGAAACAGGCAGAGGACAGTGGACTATCAGTAATTAGTCTAATTGCTTCTGTGATGCTTGTTAAGTCTAGCATCATCCTTTAACATTTTCCCTACTTGTTTTTAGCTGACAACAATTGCCTTAGGCAAAATACAAGCAGCAAGATTCTCAACCAATTGTCAATTACAATATTACCTACTCAAAATTCTGCAAACATCAACTTCTTTCAGAGAAAATAGGAATTGAGAGTGATGGATTTGTTTGCTTCTTTTCTAGACGAGAAAAAAACTTTAAATAATAATGTGCACTCGAAACCAGCCTTTCTGCAGTGGCAGATGGTTTCACAGAGGCACCCGTGGGAGTGAGGGCGCCCTCTAGTGGCTAATTGTTGCTTTAATTTAACCACAAAAGGAATGAAAACGTCCTAAAACATAAATAGGAAAAATAAAATATTTACAGCAAAAGTTAAGAAATGCTAGTCTAAAGCATGAGAAGAAAAAGGAAATGCTTCATTCAATAGCTTTCACTGCTTCTCCATGGCCTGATTAAAACTCAAACTGGCGTGATATTCAAGATTCATGTTCACCAGGCTTTATTAACCTTTCCAGCATAAATCTCAACTAATCTTTATTTCATGGACTGCATTTCCACACTCGGGTACTATTCCATGTAAGAGCTTTCTCTATGTAATCAAAACAATATTTATTCCTAGATATCCCTAATCTTTTGATAGTTGGAGGTTCTCTCTTCTTGGAGCTTTTATGGCATTCTGATTACATTTCAATCCTATATTTCATAAACCTATAGTATAGTTATCTGTCAGGGCAGTTTGTGTGCCTAATTCTTATACCTCATGTTTTACAAATAGCAAATTTTCCAATGATATTTGAATGTTGAACAAATAAACAAGATTTAGACATATTTCTTATACAATGCCCTAAACTGAAATAGAAGTAATGAGGGCATAATGAAAGCAAAGAGTGGGAAAGACAATGAACATCAAGAAATTGAATATTAGATATGAGGATGGCATCTTATTCACTTTATCTTCTGGTAGCTACAGATATATTCAAATTAATCTATTCTTCCTGTATTGAAATTAAGTTCATGATCTCATTTGCAAAAGAAGTTGAGGATTTTCATTTTGTGACTAGAAAAGTATTTCTATATAGTTTCTGTGGTTGTCCTATGATTTAAGACACGGATTTAAGAACAATCCCAGAGAATGAACCAGAAAAAGCAAGAAGTCATATGGACTAGCTAAAAGCTCTAAGAAATGGAAAAAAAAAAGTACTCTGAAAACTGAGATAATATAGTTAGGATATAAAGTGGAGGAAGAAAGGCACTAAAAACACATCTGGCTTTGAGCATAAAGTCTACGCAAGGAAACATAAAACTGAGGTTCCAGACACAGGCCTTTGAAATAAACTCATGAAAGTGGAGCAAAACAACAGAAAACAAAACTTACCACAGACACACGAGCAAGAATAACAGGAAATCCAAAGGCAGAAACAACAATCCCAGTAGTGAAGAAGTATGCCAACTCCCGACAGGCACTACTGGTTGCATCCGAATCATATGTGGTTCTTTTGGCAATGAAATGGGGGATGGGGGAGATGACGTGGAAAATCAGGACGAACAAGGGCCAGTAAACGCTGTCAGGAGCACCCAGAGGAAACCCAAACAGAAAAGTCATGGTTACAACTTACATTTTATTTCAAAATTATTGTTTTAAATGCTTAGGCCAAAAAAAGTTCAACAATTAGGAAGTGAAATCATTTCTACCAGAAATAGATAAGCAATGATTTCTAAGTTACTGATCCATGAATACATATCATGTATATATTGTTTAAGTTAAAAAAAAAAAGAAAAGAAACCATACATGTTGGATACCAGCTACTTAGGGGGCTGAGATCAGTAAGGTTATAGGGTGCAGCCAAGCCAGGCATAAGTCCAGGAGATGCCATTCTCAAACAAGAGCTAGGCCTGGTGGTGCTCACTAGTCATCTCAGCTACAGCTACTAAAATTGTGGTCCTAGGTATGGCATAAAGCAAGACTTTATCTCCAAATAACTAGTACAAAAAGAATTGGAAGAGTGGCTCCACAGTAGAGGATATGTCTAGCCTACCCTGAGTGCAAATCCCAGTACTGAGCTGCTACAACGTCCTTTTCCTTACTTTTTGTCAAAGTACTGGGGATTGAATCCAGAGCCTTATATACACTAGGCAAGAGGCCTACCACTGAGCTATATCCCAGACTCTGAGCTGCAGTTTTGCTTTTCTTTGCTTTTTTCTTTTTCTTTCTTTCCTTCTTTCTTTCTTTCTTTCTTTTTCGGGCTAGAACTGGGGCTTGAACATCTAGGAAATGAATAAATGACACCCACAATGTGTGTGGGCCTCACTTTCTTGCTCAGCTTTTTGTTCATGGCTAGTACTCTACTATTTGAGTGAGGCCTTCCCTTCTTTGCTGGCTATTTGGACAGAAGAGTTTAGAGGATTTGTCTACATGTGCTGGCTCTGAATTTTAATTAGCAAATCTCAGTGCTATGCTTTATAGGCATTAGCCACCAGTGCCTATCTGAGCTGCAATTTGTTTAAGGACAAAATCTTGGTAAATAATCTCTGTTTTCCCTATAGAACATAGTATAGTTGTTTGCATCTATTAATTCAATTAAGATATTTTTAATTATGTGCATGTTTAAAAACTTTCAATATTTTTAGAAGAAAAAACAAATTTCTAGTCCTGGCCTATAAAATCTTACATGTATCTACTGCTTTCTACTGCTTTTTCCATTCATTTTGTACCATCTTCATATTCTGGATCTCTGTCTCTCTGTGTCTGTCTGTCTCTGTCTCTGTCTCCCTGTCTCTCTTTCTGTCTCTCTCTCTGTCTCTGCTCTCTCTGTCTCTGCTCTCTCTGTCTCTCTCTGTCTCAGTCTCTGTCTCTCTCTGTCTCTCTGTCTCTCTCTCTCCCTCTCTCTCTCTCTCTCTCTCTCTGTGTAATATCTGATATCTGGGGTTGGGATTTGAACTCAGCACATCACCATTTGAGTCATGGCCCTAGCCCTTTTACTTTAGTTAATCTTAACACTTTTTGCTTAGGCCAGCCTCAGACCATGATCCCCCTTCCTACTTTTCCCATGCAAGTGAGATTACAGGCCTGTACCATCCTCTCCAAGGCAGGGTCTTGATGACTTTTGCTCAGAATAACTCAAACCATGATCCTCCTATGCTTAGCTGAGATTATATGCATGAACCACAGCACCTGGCTCACTCCTTTTATTCTCTTAACCTGTTGCCAGAGCACCCTTCATTCTTTGTGTTCCTTACACACTCTGGAACCTTTGCTATGCTCTCTGCTTGGAGAGTTTTCCCCCTTCATATCATGCAATGTAAAAAGAGAGACACCTTCCTAAAAGTAGTTTCCCTGGCATTCATCCTAACACACCTCAGTTACTCTCAAGCATGTCACCCCTTCTGACTTTCTGCACTGCACTTACTCTCAGCTGACATATGCTTGCATATGAGAATAGGGGTCTGCTTTGTCTTGATCAGTTACTACCTATCTCGAAGTTCTAGAACAATGTACTCCGTTTATATTTGCTAAATAAATGGGAAAATTTAGATTGGAAGTATGGGAGACATGAAAATACATAATTCTCACTATTAAAAAATGTAGGTGCATCCAAATTTTCTTATAAATAGGTTACAATGATACTCTAATACAAAATAACAAAACTGCCTTCTTTCCAAATTTTACTGCTTTTCACTTACTTAGTGGAAATTGCTACCTGGTTGCATCTTTATAAAGACTTCCTAAATAATTATCCAATTGATCCAGTTAGACAGTTATTATGCTTCATTCCTTAAGGTTTCTGCTCATTTTCATAAACACACATGACAGTAATACACATCACCACAAAACTGTAACAATTCAGAACCAGCGAGCCAGCCAGCACCCCTCAGCAGGGGTGGGAGGTGAAGCTTTCCTAGTAAAGTTTCCCATTTGAGCTACAGATCTAGCAGGCCAAGATTATAGCCAAAAAGCAAGAAGGAACGTGCCTTTCACCCAGAAGCCTGAGGATAGAAACACAAAGTTTAGATTTCTAATTTTAAACTAGTATGTTCCAAGAACCATCTAGCAATATTATTGCAAGGGGCTGTTAGAGAATCCATAATTCAAAGTAAGGACATGAAATATGAAGAGGGGAAGAGGCCTGGAAGAGACAACTATCACCTGATATACCCTAAGCTACAGCTCCTAATTCATCCTGGAATACAGTGACAGTTTTCTGAAAAATGATCTGAGAGACTTTGTTTCCATTTATAGTCAGCTTCCAGTATACAACTACAGAGACTGACTGCTCTGCTCACGTACAAGCAACCTTATTTTTAGATAAAATTTGAATATCAAACATCACCCTATTCGATTAGTATGTAGGCCAAAAATCAGCAAACTTTTTCAAACTTTTTTTCTGAATAGTACATATTTAGCCTCTTCAAGCCCCGAGGTCTTTGCCTCAACTCTGAAACTGCAGTCAAAAGCGATAGTATGTACACGCATGAGCATGGCTATGTTCCTGTAAGAGTTTAATAACAAAAACAGACACCAGGCTACACTTGGCCTGTGGGCCAGTTTGCTGACTTCTGAATCATCATCACAATGATATGAAGTTAATTTCTCTGTAGTAGTGGTAGTCACAGGTGGCTTTCTTACCTGTGGAGACAAACTGCTTGTATGATGAACAATGAAAACTGGGCTTAGAATGAACCATGCAATGATGGGCAACTCTTTGGTCAAGAGAATTAGAATGTGTGTTCCACTTCCTTATCTGTTATATTACTGTGTGATTTGGATGATTTTCATTACCCTGGGCTTTCCTGGGTAGGAATGAGGATAATAAAATGCTATCTCCTTAAAATCAGCATAAAGCAATATCTGTGAAATCTCTGAACAAATGCCGTGTAAGTTCTGTGATTGTCTCAAAGATGGACAACATACCTAGGCAGATGTGAATCCACTGTTGTCCTAACAACTAGCTCCAGGTGGTGTCACTCACATCCCTTCTGACAAGTTGCTCAAGCCAATTATTTGGGAGACATCCAAGATGCTGAGCCCTGACATCAATTAACAAAACCTATTCATTCTGCCACCTATGTCACTCTGCATTTTTTTTCCATTCCTGCCATCACAGTCTTAATTTTACTTGATTTATACCAATAGCCCCTTAGGATTAGGCCTGATTATAGTCTCAGCACTTTTAGATCTAGTCTCACATTTTGCCCACAATAACCCACTTCTGGCCAAACCCAGTATTCAGGTATTTTCCCAGAGCTTATTGACTGGTAATTTCCCCTAAGGAGTACAGAGCTACAAAAGACTGATTCGATACCTATCCAACCTTTCTACTGTACCTTGCTGAATAAAGGTGATTAATGATCTCTGCCTAAAATGCATTTATCCACCAGTTCTTGGCTCAAATACAGCCTTGCTGTGCTGCCCCCCAGATTTTTTTCCTGAGTTCCAACTGTATCACACGCATACCAACAGCACATTACAGCAGCCATCTTATTAGCTGCATCATTGTTTGTCTGTCTCTCACTTATAACTATAGCTATAAGCTCCTCAAAGAAAAGGTTATTCTCATATCCCCAGTTGGTCTACAGTAGGAGCTTAACAGATGCTTACTAAATGAATAGAATATTTTTAAAAGCTTTTCATGTATAAATACATAGATCCTGAAAGGACTGGATTCATAACCTAGAATTCACTAAGTTTTTGATTTTGGTGTTAAATTCATAAAACTGTCTAACACCCACACTCTCAGTGACAACTACACAAAAAAAGAGTAGCTCATTCTGGAATCATCACTTACCCATAATCCTCCAAGGCACATCCCAGCATAAGAAAGGTCAGCCCAATAGCTCCACTGAAAGACAATGCCACCAGAGCTGTGAAAAATAAAAGCAAGGGTTAAAGGTTCCAGATCATCAGTTGCCAGTGCAGTCAGGGTAATTGGGATATGACTACATATGCATATAGCTTCTCTGAGGGATGACAAGTTATTGTGGAGTTAGATGATAGTTATAGCTGACAACCTTATGACTACACCACACATTAAAAGATTTTACACTAAAGAAGAAAAACAATGATTTCGTAGTATGTGAATATGTATCAATAAAACAATTTACTAGCTGGGTTCTGGTAGCTCATGCCTATAATCCAATCTATTCAGGAAGCTGAGATCTGAGGATCATGGTTCAAAGCCAACCCAGGCAGGAAAGCCTAGGAGACTCCAATTAACCACCAAAAAGCAGGAAGTGGAGCTGTGGCTCAAGAAGTAGAGTACTAGCCTTGAACAAAAACAAAACAAAACACTCAGAGATAGCACCCAGACTCTGAGTTTAAGCCCCAAGTCTGGCACGCATGTGCGCACACACACGCGCGCACGCACACACACACACACAGGAAATTACTTAGAAAAGAATAAATGAAGCTGGGCACTGGTGGCTCATGACTGTAATCACAGCTATTCAAGAGGCTGAGATCTGAGGATCACAGTTCAAAGACAGCACAGGTAAGAAAGTCTATTCAACTCTTACCTCCAATTAATCACCAGAAAACTAGAAGTGGCACTGTGGCTCAAAGTAGTAGAGCCCTAGCCTTGAGGAAAAAGAGATCAGGGATAGCACCCAGGCCAAGTTCAAGCCTCATGGCTGCCCAAAAAAGAAAGAAAAGGAAAAAAATGGTCCCAAATCTGCATGAATCTCATTAATCAATGTACATTTGACTAGCAAGTGCCTATTGGACAGGATGTCTGTATGCACTTCATTCATGTATTGACACCTTATATTAAGGAGGAATGGCTTTTCAGAGGTTATTAAGTACAGATGAGGTAAGAGTCCCCACGATGGGATCAATATCCTTAGCAGAGAAAGAAACTAGAGTGACATGTAAGGTTTTCATGGGCCCACTCACTCCTCCAGGGAACAAAAAGCAAAGACAGCCCTTACCAGATACCAGATCCACCTGGGCCTCCACCTTGGACTTCCCAGCCTCCAAAACTGTGACTCCAAACATGACATTACGCCATCCGCTCTGTGGTATATTTGTGATTATAGCCCAAACTGGGTAAGAGGACCACCTGTGTCTACCCCTGTAAAAATCAAAGGCGGACAAAGGTCTCCTGCAACTCCAGTACCTTCCCACACTGATGGTGTGAGTTCCCTCTATATCTGCCACAGGAGGATAGATAGCCAGTCTCTGTAACTCTAGTGTGGAGAAACTTGGTACTACCTGAGGCAGGCCATTATTCTCTACCAGTTTCTAAAACGTTAGACATTCTCTTTTCCTATCATCCCAAAGTGACTTCCTCAGAGAGAGCTTCGATCACTTTGCCTCACTTCATCACAAGTACTTCAAAACTGCTTTTATATACTCATAGGAAACAATTCCCAACTGGTATCCACTGAATAAAACATCAACTCCCTGACTCAGCTGGATCTACATCTCAGAGGAAGGAATGTAGGTAGAGCAGATACCCTTGCTGTGCAGCTGAGTGATCCACAGAATACCAGGTTAGTAAAACATCTGAGTCACACACATGGATTCAAATATCAACTTTATTGTCCACTGGCTACACGACCTTAGGAAGAAGTCAGATCTCTCTGAGTCTGGTCTGTCACCTATGAAAGAAGAATAATGGCCCCACATTATTGAGTCAATTGGAGCTTACTGAGATAATCTATGTAATGTGTTTGACAGTCAATAAATATTGACTGATGCAAGTTTCTATTTTAGATTTTTAGATTCATTTATTTTAAAATATAAAAGACAAAGAACACAATACATATTCTCTATGGAAAAATTACTGAATAGTTTTGATTAAATTAATGAAATTTTACTGCTTCCTTTTACTTTAAGAAGATACAAGATATTGTTTTATAGGAAGATGCCAAAAGGCTTTTCGGGAAACATCCAGAAGTATCCAGATATTAGAGAACAGGAAGGACCATCAATTCTAATTTATTTATTTTTTCCGTGTGTGTGTGTGTGTGTGTGTGTGTGTGTATGAGATGGTCCTGGAATGTGAACTCTGGGCCTGAGCATTGTTTCTGGCTTTTATGCTCAAGGCTAGTGCTTTACCACTTTAAGCCACAGCTCCATTTCTGGCTTTTTGGTAATTAATTGGAAATAAGAGTTCTGTGAACTACCGTGCCTAAGCCGGCTCTGAACCACAATCCACAGATCTCAGGTCTATAATAAGAGGCACCAACACCCAGCTCAGTCTACTTTTTAATGGAAAAATGACCACATGTGGATATATATTCATATATATTCATATATGTGCAAATGTATATTCTATATTGCATCCATTTATCAGATGACCTTTTCCTAACAGGATTTGCTAACCCCACTCTGGGTCTGATTATTTTCAATACACCCTATTCCACAAGCCCAACAAAGCTGAGTACTACACACCCTTTCTTTCTGTCCCTCCCATTCCTCAAAGTTCTTTGTGATTCTTTTTTTTTTTTTTTGCCATGTGTGCATTTGGTATGAGTATGGGTGTGTGTGTGTGTGTGTGTGTGTGTGTTCAGGAATAGCACACTTAGCCATCTCTTAATGTTGGAGATGACCAAGAATCCAACCTCATCTTTCTTTTGACTCTGGACTCCAGCTGAATAAATGCATCCAACCCAATATACAAGAGCCCAGCCACATTTGAGGATCTGAGAACTAGGCCTGTACTTCCACCTTCAATATGCCCCACCCTGCATAGACAGCTAATAACTAATGAGAACATGATAAAGCAAACCACCATTCTCCCATCCACTGCTCCCAAGCACACATTGCTCCATTTTCCCTATGAAAGCCTATCTTAGAGAATTCACACCAAAGCTGCTCTCTGCCTTTCCGTGAATCAGCAAGTCCATATGACTCTATCACGAGAATTGAGACTTCTCCAGTGAAGAACCTAATCATCTGCCTGCAGTCATCTGTGCCCCTTCCTAACCATCCTGACACAGCAGACACTGATACTTGAAGTGGTATATATATATATATATATATATATATATATATACCTTGTTCTTTTCAGGAATTTAGAGGGAATACACACACACACACACACACACACACACACACCTTGTTCTTTTCAGGCATTTAGAGTAGATATATATGTATATATATATATATATATCCTCTAAATATATATATATCCTCTCTATGTATATATGTATATATGTGTGTGTGTGTGTGTGTATATATATATATATATATATACACACACACACAGAGAGAGAAGAGCAGTGACTATAGACAGACAGTAGGGGGAGTAATAGGAAGACAGAAATATATATTATACATATATTAAATATTATACCTTCCCTCTAAATTTCTGAAACGAATGAGGTGTATTCATTCATGTCCACCCTGCAGCCACTCTCCATCTGGAATATACTCTGCCCTTACAGATGAAACCTGGTGGATCCCATTAGATTCAGTTCAAATACTGTTTTTTGTTTAAAAACAAAAAAGTCCTCTTCATCCCTAGAGGAATAATTAGTCCATTTTCATTAGTTTCTTGGGACTGGTGTTATAATACCTTGCCACAAGTTGGATGACTCAGAATAACAAACATGAAATGAAACTGTCAGAGAGAGACATGCTCTCCCTGAAGGATGTAGGGAGCAAAGACTTCCTCGCCTCTTTCTGCCTGGTGGTGCCAATAATTGTCGCCACTTGGTTTGCAGCTGCATCATGACAATTTCTGTTCTAGAATTCATTCTTTTATGTCTTCAGATTCAAATTTCCCTCTTCATTCAAGGACACCAGCCATTGGATCACAGCCTAATTAAAGCAAGTATGATCTTAGCTTGACTGCATCTGAAGACCCTATTTCCTAACAGGCTCTACAATAGGATGTATTTCCAGGAGAGTCGCATTCACAGGTAGTAGGGAGTTAGAACCTACCAATACCTTTGGAGGGAATATAACTCAACCCACCCCGAAGCTCTGCTTCCACAGCATCTGAGCATACCTCATTCACTTACATAGTAATGTAATTATTTGTAGTTGTCACTCAACAATCAATTCTCATCTATCTTTTTAACTCCAGGTGTCCCCACATACAAGTGCTCAATAAAAAAAAATTTAAAAAGTTGAATTACCTGAAAAATACTTCCTTTCTACTACCTCATACTTTCGAACACATTCACATATAAACATTGTTACTATTTGATAGTTTTTGGTCAGGATAAATCCTATGTAATAGGAAGATACTGTGTCATCTGCTTTCTAGGTTGGAGTTAAATGGATATATTATACACTGGACACTGTCCAAGTAAGCCAGGTTTACTCAATTGATATTAAATATAAAAAGTCAGCCAGAAAATGATAAAACGTGTCTGTTGCTCACAGCTCACACAGATAAATTCATAACGAACACACAAGTGCAGACATGCATTATACCTTGCCAAGGTGTTCGCAGTAGATATCATCCGGGAAGATCTCTGTACAAATTTCAAGAATAGGAACTCGCAACTCAGAAACAAGTTATGCCAGTCTATTCCCAAGAGCAGAAACGGAATCGTGTCCTTGCTCAAGGAAGCTATCCAGTAACCTCTTTCCCCATTCAGACCTTCCTTTTTCTGAACGCACACGGAGAAAGGAAGTGATGGTCACAGTTCCCCCTTTCTTAAACTGTCCCATGCAAAAACACACGATTGTACATCCCTTACTTTCTTGTCTGTCCAGACGGGGATAGAAATCACTGGAGAAAGTCCGTGTTAAAATCCCATCTAATCTAGGCTCCAAGGCTGCATTATTTCTGGGTGTTTTCCACGGAAACCTGACAACAGCCAACTCTGCCCCAGTGGAACAAGAGGATTAAGTTTCTCTTGTCCAGCACTGGAGACAAAGGCTCCTTTGTAAGTAATAGGAAACCGAGGAGGGACAGGAAGCGGGAAGAGAGGCGTTGGGATCGGCGAGCGAGGAAGTAGAGCCCTCCTTTAAAAAACTTGGCAAGGGTCGAGGGGCAATCTGGGGAGACTGAGGCGAAGCGGGGCGGCGGGGCGGGGAAGAGGATGCTCCCAGGCTAACCGGGTGCCCCCCAGGAGGGCGGCGCCGACGGGAAAGGCCTCCGCCCGGGGTCCGCAGGACCCCAGAAGAGCGCCGGAAGCCGGTGGCCCCAGCTCGCAGCTCGGAGATCGCCCCGAAACGCGCCTCCACCCCCCACGAGGCGAACGGAGCGCACCGGCGCCTCCGAGCCCGGAGATGGGGCGACAGACGGCCGGTCCCCGCCCGCGCGGACGGCGCAGCTGCAGCCGCGCCGGGGCCGGAGGTGGTGACCCCGCCCCGCGACCACCGAGCCGGGGGTCGAGGATGTACCTTTAACGCCCGCCATATCTCAGGAGCTAGAGCTGCTCGCGGCTGTTTCCGGCTTCCTCCCACCTCCCGGGTCCCCCGCCCCGGTCCCCCGCCCCGGTCCCCCGCCCCGGTTCCCGCCCTGAACAGGTCCACGCCCCGCGGGGCCCGACTCCGCCACGTAGGGCCCGCCTACAGACAGAGCCAGACAGAGCCCCGCCCTCCGACCACGGAGCCCCGCCCTCCGGCCACGGAGCCCCGCCCCCAGACCACGGAGCGCCGCCCATGCCGCCGCGGATTCCCGGCCACGCAGAACCCCGCCTCTACTGGTCCAGATCCCTGCCACTCAGAGGCTCACTGGTGTCGTTTCCCCATTCCTGCTCTGCTACGCGTAGCCCCGCCCTCTGGTCCATAGCTCCGCCCCCAGATCGCGTAGTCCGCCCTCGCCGAGCCGTATAGCCACACCCCCAGCCTGTAGAGTCTGTTTCCAGGCCCTAAAGTCCCGCCCCGCAGGTGCGGGCCATCCTCCTTTTAGGATCGGAGACATCCTAGTAACCCGGTAACCGCCCCAAGCTCCGCCCCGACGTCAGGACCCGACCCTCCCTCCAGCAAATGAAAATGCTCGGTGTCAGCCTAGTGGCTTGGAAACCTGCTGAGAGTGAACGTAGAGATGTCCCTCAGGGGGATGGAGTGTTTTGTTTTGGCCTTAAAAATCCACTAGTCTGAGGCCTTCCTCTTTTAGGGAAGGAGGTTCAGAAAGGGTAGGAAATTGTGCAGGACAGCTTCTTGAAAGAGGTTAGAAAACCAAAACGGTTGAACTCTTGATTTTACAGGGAAGGGGAGAAATGCGCGTTGAAATTGTTGAGACCTGTGGTACAGTAAGATTGTTTTAGAGATACTGCGTTCGCAGAACTGATTACAGATGTCAGCCCAATGAGCTCCCTTCCCATAACTTAGTCCACTCCTTCCCCCTTCCACGGCTTGGCATGCTCCCTTCCCAGGCAACACTAGGCCCATTTAGTAAAGGCAGTAAATAATCAGCCTCCAGCCCCCCTTACCTTGGGATGGCACTCCTCTGGGGCAGCTACCACCATATAAGGCAACAAGAGCCCCTTAGAGTGACCTTCAGGTCCTTATCTGCTACTTGGGCAGCAGCCATAAATCCTGGTCTGTCATGATGAGGCCTCTGTACCCACATGCACACCACAGTCTCTGCCTCCTAACCCCTTCTAGCCCCTCCTAAACCCCCTAGGTTCTATAGGTCACCTCAGACAAGCAGGTGCTGCTTCTCACTTCTCCCTTGTGAGAAAGGGTCTTGCCAGGCCCTTTCCCCAGCAATAAACCTTTTTTATTCTCTGTACCTGGATGTCTGTGTGGCTTTCTGGCAAAGTCTAATTTATTCTAACAATAGCTCATTGTTTTATTGTTCTACTTTATTATTGTGATTAATTTCTTACTGGGACTACTTTATAACTATCACACAAGGTTTGTAAGTGTGTAGAGAAAAAACGAAAAACAGTATCTGTCCAGAATATCGAGCATCAAGTGGGAACTTGGGATATATTCCCTATAGATAAAGGGTCAGGGAACTACTGTACCAAACTCTGAGAACCTGTGAGTTTTGGCTCCTTTGCTGGTGGTGTGAACTAGTAGAGCTTTTTCCATCTTAAGTAATTAAATGTACTGTCCCCTTCCATTCTCAACCATCACCACCACCACCTGCCCAGTTAGCTGGTGTCCTGATGGGCCTCAATATAGATTTGCTGAAGCCCTCCCCATCCACCTGAGACTAGTCACACAGAAAAGAAATGATTTGGAAAACTATCAAGCCTCCAGAAGCACACTGTGATTTGAGCACCTGAAACACCTACAGTAAGTATCTGCTTAGAATGAAATACTGAAAAGTGGATGGAAGCAAAATACCTAAGTATTGATCCCAAGGTTACAGGTATGTCGAAGCAGCAATATTCTAAGATAGTGATTTTATCAGAATTTGTTCTGTATCCATACCAGCTGTTCTTCTCTTTTCACCAAACTACTTTTAAAGAGAAAGGGAAGCCATCTTGGAGACACTTTAGCCACCGGCTGAAAAGTCTACTTTCCTCTTGCCAGAGTTTGTGCTGAAAAATTTTTTTCCACTTACCCAATTCCATATGTCTTCAAAAATATAAGGCAGCAATACCTAAATGTCTAAACCCAACTTACCATCAGTGTAAAATTTGGTTTATAAAATTTGGGCAAATGTCAGGCTGCTTAGAACTAGAATGGAATTCTTAAATCTAAATATTCTCTCAATTTTACAGATGGTAAAACTAAGGCTCAGGTAATGCCTTGCCATTAAGAAAGCTGTGGGCAGGCCCACAGCTGAACTCTAGAGTTAGATCTTATGTCCTGAAGACAGGGATTAAATATAACAAGATAAACACCTCATGTTTAAGGGCATCCAAATACATCCATGGAGTTTATATTCTATCAGTACATGCCAAATATATTTGATCAGAGTTTGATGGGATTCAGGAGCCTTCAGATTAAAGACCCAAGGACTCTAGGTGGGTTACGCATTTTTATGGCTATGCTTGAAGAAGCATAGACAGTATAGCAGTTTTAGAGGAGAAAAGCACAGTCTACACTCTTGTTCACATTCTTCTCGGTCTGTCTGTGCAGCTGCAGCATTTCCTCCTTCTGGACACATAGCATGACACTTTCTGGTAGGTCTTATGACCTACCTTAAGACAAAGTCAGAGTGCTGTTTTTAGGTTTTATGGCTAGTTTGGGGAAATGATTTAAGGAAATGACCTCCCTACAGGAACAGGAATATCAGTTTTCACTGTTTGCCTGGGGGGGGGGCGGGGGGAGGAGAATGAAGTAAGTTAGAAACCAGACCCAGACAGTAGCAGACGGTCAGAGAGAAAGTTTGTTTTCTGGGGTTTTTACTGCTGTGCTGTTCTCTAAGCCCCAAGTGTAAAAACACTAATAAGTTTACTTACTCTAGTAAGTCTCCCTATCCTCCAGTAAGTATCTGCTTCAAATCCAGCTCAGAGTAAATTTCCCCATCTTCTGTTTCCAGAAGTTTTACAAAACCTTTTTAGAGGGGAGTGATATCACACACCTGTAATACTAGCACTCTCAGGAAGCTGGTGGGGTAGGGACAGGAGTGGAGGGGGTGGTAAAGGGAGGATGGGGTAGGAGGATTATAAGTTTGAGACCAAGCTGGGCAACAAAGTGTTAGCCCAATGAGCTCCCTCCCCATAGCTTAGTATGCTCCTTCTCCTTTCCACAGCTTAGCATGCTCCCTTCCTAGGCAACACTAGGCCCATTTAGTAAAGGCAGTAAATAATCAGCCTCCAACCCCTTGACCTTGGGATGGCACTTCTCTGGGGCAGCTACCACCATATAAGGCAACAAGAGCCCCTTAGAGTGACCTTCAGGTCTGGGCAGCTGCAGGGCCCTTATCTACTATTTGGATAGCAGCCATAAATCCTAGTCTGATATGATGAAGCCGCTGGCCCACATCTATACCAGGGTCTCTGCCTTCTAGCCCCTCCTAAACCCCCTAGGTTCTATAGGTCACCCCAGACAATAGCCAGTGCTTCTCATTTCTCCCTTGTGAGAAGGGGTCTTGCCCGCCCCTTTCCTGGCAATAAACCTTTCTTTGTTCTCTGTACCTGGATGTCTGTGTGGTTTTCTGGCAAAGTCTAAAATGATCTAACACAAAGCAAGACAAATTTATGTGAGAAACAAGACCCGGGTGTCACATCTCCATTAGAGCAGGCCATCCCATCAGGGATTCAGCCAAATGGAAGTATGAGACAGTACTCATTGAAATCAGTAAAGGTTGCTTTTCCTTGGCAAGTCTCCACCATTTTATTCATACAGATCTCGGTCAGCCCCTTCACACCAACAAATGTCAAAATACAAGTTACGTTCAGTTGCTATTTCCTCCTCCACACAACTTGAGATTTGGTTTTAATTCCATGTCAGATACTGATCTGCAGGATACCCTGTGTCGTGTTTATTATCAATAACCATAGTGTGTGATGAGTACCCACTTGACCACAATTTTTACAGTTCCTAATTCTTCTACTTCAGGATGGTTAAGAGTCTATTCTAGAAATACATAAAACTCAGGGAGATAAATCTCTCCAATATAACAGTCTGCATGTAGAAAAATCAAAACCAAACTCCAGCTTTACTGGTTTTACTCACGAGGCCCAAACCATTTCATTTATCTTTAGAATAATCAAAACCCATTCATTGGGTCCAAATTTCATGATCATATTTCTGTCAGGGAAACTGACCTGCTGCTCTGATACAGCCTTGGGGTTGTTTGTTTGGTTTGGTTTTTTTTTTTGTTTGTTTGTGTGTGTGTGTGTGTGTGTGTGTGTGTGTGTGTAAGAATAGAATCTTTATTTGGTTCTTATTTTAAAGTTATTTCCCTTTCTCCTTAGGAGCAGATTTTGAGAATCACTATAACATGGAGTAGGTATTATATTAAAAGGTCATAAGTCTAGACCAGTGATCGGAGACAGGGAAGATGAGTTTCTCCAGAGGCTTCAGGACCAAGGCCATTCCAGATGTACACACTACAATAATGGGGGTATAGAAAATATTTGAAGGGTGGGTTTTTATGGTTGTTTGTTTGTCGGACACATTGACTTTCTTTCTACACAGCCTTTGCCTCAGGCTGCTAGAGTGCTGGGGTGATCGGCACAGACATGAATACCACCTCTCTCCGCAGCAAAAACTTTTGATTGACACCATTTATTTACCCGTGAATTTACTGCTTCTGTCTTTAAAGAACGAAAACACCTGAGACTTTTCCATGATAGATGCAGAAGATCAGTCCCTCTGCTTCAGCAAACAAATGCACTTTATTAACATTTTAGCTAGGAGAGAAGAATTTCTATGTGAATTCTTCTTGAAACATGATATTCATTTAGCATTATTGTGTGTGTGTGTGTGTGTGTGTGTGTGTGTATTTGTGTGTGAGTGTCAAGAAAGAAGATGCATGGGTGAGGAAAGTATAAAATTGGAAATCTTTTCCAATTTTTGCCTTTAGGTACAAATGTATTTCATGTTGTCTTTATATTCATTCATTGTCTATAACCCTCCTTCGAAGCAAATCAGCTCAGATAGTTAACTCACGTGGGTCATTGTATTCCTACAAGTGCAAAAATAACTTAAATGTCTAAAAATATTTTTGAGCCTTTTAATATACATTACAAATATTTTAGACCAATCACATTTTGTTGTTTAACATATTTACAAAACCAAAATATATTACAATAAATACGAATGGAACCGTTAATCTAATCAACAACAAGCTCTGTCACCACCTGATGTTTAAAAGGAATGCAAACACTTGTTTGGTCTGCATGAGTTAAGAGATCTGAGATAAATAAGGGCCCAGAATTATAATGTATCTGGAAAAGAGATGAAGGCAGCCCTCAACTTGCTAAGTAAGATTCTCTCTCATTGCTAATTACATAATGTTTCATGATATTTTAAACTGTGAACATTAATGAATTATCCAAACATAATACAAAGCTAATATAGTTCTATTATTTCAAAATGTACATGACATCCACATAGTATCCTTTTAATTATCATTATATACTGTAATTCACACAATATCTACATATGTGAATGCGAAAAGAAAAGGTCACAGCAACATGTCTCACATTCCAATTTTAAATAAGACAAGCACAAACTGGATCAAACATTATTTTATAATATGTTAAGTAGTAACACCTAGTTTGTTATGGTTACCTTGAACAGTTTACAGGTGTACATTCAAAAAGAAAATATCTTTTGAGAGTTTCACATTGTCAATAAAAGGCAAAATAAATAATAAATCTTATAACCAAGAGAGAAAGGGGGGAGGAAGAGAGAAAGAGAAAAAGAGAGAGAGAAAGAGAGAGAGACCTAAATAGAACCTAAAGTTTTTTGACATGCTGCTTTTCTGGTACAGTTTGCCACAAGAAAATTGAAACAGAAACAAAAATGATTGTCTTTTGAAAGCTTTAACAAATATTGAGTATGAACCTCTGCCTATTAGCATGAAAATATATTTGGCCACCTGCTCTGTGTGTGCATATAATATGTGTATATTAAATAATATATATACACATGTTATATGCACATTGTCTATATGTTCAATAGGAGGTCTGCTAAAGCCACAAAATAGCAAACTACTTACTCCTCAAAATGAGAACCAGCCAAACACTGAACTGAAACCAATTGAAGGTTCTTAACATGACTGCTGTTCCTATAGACCTCCAACTACTTCACACCAATAAACCCATGGAAATAATCCAGGGGCTCCAGACTCACTGGGAGGGAGGGGACCTAGCTCCTCAATGTAAATGAGGGATCCTGAAGATCTGTGCATCTTCTATGGTCTTAACCACTCACAAACTACAGAGCACTGAATCCAGGTTAGCTCTTGGTCTTGACAAACTGTAAAAGGACCAAACTGCTTCACAACATATTGCCAGCAAAGAGCATTTTTAAATAAGCAAAAGGAAGGGTTAAAAACTTGGTATAGCCTTTGAATCCAGTTCAGAGTTATGGTATTAAGAGTTTTTCTTTCACCAATCCTAGTTTTCTAAAAGAAAGTAGCATCTCAACATCCTGACCCAAGATTTCCACAACTTCAGAGTTCCTATTTTCTTTAGCCAGCATTTGCTTTAGTTTTTTACCTTATCCAGGAAGAACACACAAAAATCCCTGGGCATTTGCATAAGCACTTCCCACAATCCAAATTTCTTTTCTGTTAATTAGTGCTACTGATCAAGACATACACAGTATTATCCTCAAGGCTAGGGTACATTTCATTAAAAAAAACAAATACTTGATGGTAATGTTCTGTGTAAATGATGTCTGTGTAAAGCTATGACTCAAGTTATATCTTTCAAAAAAATCCCAAACCATTCTTAAAAACCATCACGTAATCCTATTACTGTAACTCTCGATGATTAATCATATCCTCAGAGAATAAAATGGATGTCATGCCTTCACCTTTGGCGGCCTCAATTTCCCATATTCTCAGGCAAGATGCTGAGTAGGCTCCCCACAGGACAGGCTGGAATGTTGCATGTCAGCACCGTCATCTCCCCACAAGTTCCTCCCCTGCTTTCAATCTTTTATGGCAGGGACTTGGAGGAATCAAACATCCACATTCCTGTGAGAAATTAATCCACAAGTAATTTAACAGTTTAGTACTGGAGATACATTACTGAAATTTTTGGTTCATCTGTGAAAACCTCAGAATTGTAATACACACTAAGCATTAGCACAGTTTTGTAGTGGAGATAGAAAGGCTCACAAATTAATACAAGGGCTTTTGGCCTTGGTTTTCAAATTCAGACCAGGCATCATTTAGCTCCATAAAAATCATCTTGGCGTACTGTTCATAGGGTTGCCCGGTAGCCTGTAGGTAAAAACAAAGCACATATTAGAGCTCACAGACTAAAATAATATCTCCGTTAAATTCACTGGTAATATGGGTTCTAAGTAATTAAAATGCTCTTCTAGGCTGGGCACCAGGGACTCATACCTGTAATCCTAGCTACTCAGGATCAAGGCTCAAATTCAGACTAAGCAGAAAAGGCTGAGAGACTCTTACTTTACAGAAAAATGCCAGAAGTGGAGGTACGAGTAGTAGAATGGCAGCCTTGATCAAAAAGCCAAGCAAGAGTGCAAGGTCCTGAGTTTAAGCTCTCAATTATGGGCACAAAATAAAATAAAATAAATGAAATGAAATAAAATGTTCTTATATTAATCTGTTTCTTTTTTTACAGCCTAATCTGGGTAATAGTAATTACCCTCCTCTAGAAATTCACATAAGGTAATAGTAATTGTCAATAAGTAGCTAACAGAAAGGCTATCAGGCATCAAAAGATCCATCTCAGTTCTTTGGAAGTATCTACCGAACAAGCCAAAGCGTAATAACAACATGTTTCTAATGCATTATGGTTCAAAACTCCTATTTTTTCCAATTTCTAAATAAAGCGAGGTTCTTGGAGACTCAAAAGAGGGGCAAACAATTTGTGTGTTTTCTGGGCTCCACTTCTCTTTTGATTGACTAAACTTCAAACGTAAATGTGGATTCTCGTTGATTCTTCTATTCAAGGCAGTCATCAAAAATGTAGAGGGTGGCCCTGAGTTCAAGCGTCAGGACTGGCAAAACAAAAAATTTAGAGGGATGGAAATTAAATAAATACATGGCATTGGTGGCACTTTAATCATAACTTCATGTCATCTGAGTCACTTCCGCCTGAAATGTTTCTGTGAACAGGGCATCAGATAAAATTTCTAACAACAATGCTCCCATGTATCAGTGACAACATGACGGGACACAAACGAGATGATGGGTTTTGTCACATTTTTAAAAGCCTGTTCATTCTCACCAGTTTTATTAAATACAGGAGTTTTACCACCATCCTGGCTAAACCTATTCTTCTAATTCCAAATGAGAACAGTTCTCCTTTGTGTGTCTAGCTCTCAGCCTAGTTACACCGTTGCAAGATTGTATCTAAACGCTAAAAAATAAAAAAAAAAAAACTGGTGAATGTTGTAACATCCTCCTTAAGTAACGTCTTAATTGTATTATTCATACTTTGATTTCTTTTGCACCTGTATGAAGTAGAACTATTTGTTTAGACACACGATTCCAACCCACGGGCTTAATTTATTAAACCAATGGCCTAATCAGCCAGCAAATGGGAAGTACGATGCTTTTAATACATGCTTATACATTAACAAATTGAAGACCAGACATATGCAAAGACAGTAGCAGGTGCTACTCACTTTATCTGGGTGCACGACCAGCACCGCCCTTCTGTACACCTTCTTCACCTGCTCCGGCGTTACCAGGTCTGCCATTCCAACTGGTTTCCACTTAGTCTCCCCAGCCCACAGCACAGTATGCATTGTGGAAAGAAGTGCTCGGATATTTCTCTCTTTACCTTCTATCCATTCCAGGATCTATAAACACAAAGGGGTGGGGGTAGGGATTTCAAATATTTTCCAGGCCAGTGGGTTTCTTCCAGGACCCTGGAAACCCTGTCCTGCTTTAGTGAAACCAAATAATAGGAATGTCCTATACACTCTGCCTTCTGAAGAGCTCTTCCTGGAATACTTTCCCACTTCTACCTACTGCTTCAAAAGCCTGCTCAATAATTTCACCTCTGAGAGTTTGAATTTGTTGCTCTATCGCCCCCTAGAGTTAATAATACACTCCTAAAGTATAAACTCAATCAGGTCACACATATTTACTTGCTACCTAACTAAATAATTACTCCTTTCAGAAAGGTCAAACCTGGCCCTACAACATAGCTCAGTGGTAGAATACTTATCTGCCAAGTACAGGATTCGGGGATCAATCCCTATCACTGCCCTCTCCCCAAAATAAATCCTTTAAGAAAGCTACTGGGGAGTCTGAAAAGGGAAGATTGAGAATTATAGGGCAGTCTGGGATACATAGCAAGAACCTATCTTCATCCAGGAGTGATAATTCTTTAATACATAATATTTCTGTATCAGAGAACAGATCTAAAAAAGTGCTCTCAAAGGAGGAGAAAATAGAGATAATACATTCCCTTCCTCTTCAAATTCTAATAATTTATCTTTAGAATCTAAGTGCCACTTAGGTAACAAAATCCCATCTTAAAGAGTGTCATTGCTCATCTGAACAAGTAAACAAATCCGTTTACACTGGATGCTGGTGGCTCATACCTGTCATCCTATCTTTTGAGAAGGCTGAGACCTAAGGATTGTAGTTCAAAGACAGGCCAACCAGGAAAGTCTGTGATTAATCCCCAATTAATCACTGAAAAGGTTGGAAGTGGAGCTATTCTAGCTCAAGTGGTAGAGTGTTGGCCTCAAGCAAAAAAAGCTCAGGGACAGCACCTGAGCCCTGAATTCAAGCCCCAAAACTGGCATTAAGATAAAAATAAAAATTTAAATAGCATATACAACTTCCCTAAAGCTACTTTGCTCTCAAAGGGCATGACTGTACTCAAATCACAATGTGGTGGATGTCAATACAGTGTTGCCTTTCATAGATGCTACTGTCTGAATGTCTTAAGTCCCACCCAAAATTCATTTGTTGAAGTCCTAACCCCATGCTGATGGCATTATAAGACCAGTCTTTGGGAGGTGATTAGACAATCAGAATTATGCTGATGGATCTTCACACCTAACTTTGTCACCTGATCTTGTCTTATAGGATAATCAGAGTCAGTGGCTCACTCACCTTTAATTTCTCAGGATCCATTTCCTTAGCCATTTCCTCCTTTCTCATCTCTGCTATTGTTCGAGGCCCCTTTTTGTCTTTGTGGGCATTAAAACCTTGACTTGAAAGTAAATCTTCAAAGTCAGCTGCTTTTTGTTTCCCTTCTGCAACATAATTTTTGAAAATCATTATGGCTAGGCATATCATACATTTTTATCCCAAAGGACTTCAGAGTCTTCAACATGCTTTTCCACACATTTATTTTCTTTGCTCTTAGTAGTGTAAAAGATTCCTAAACCCATTTTACAGATGAGAAAAAAATGAAGTCCAGAGAACTTAAAAAGACATTTCTAGAGTCACATAACATGTACCTGGTAAGGCTAAGACTGGAGTCTGGCTCATTAAATGCAATTCAATTCCATTTCTACTGTCTCCTCTATCTGGATATCATGATAGCTCCTTGTCATAACTAATTAATGTAGGGGCTTTGACAAGGTTTGGTTTGGTTCTTGGAATCAATGCATGTTATCATTACCCTGCCCTCCCCTAGCTGACAAATTTAGTTCATCATGCACTCTTTCCCACAACTCAGGGACCAAACTACTCAGATTGGAATTCCAACTCTACCACCTCTTCACAATGTGACCTCAGACAAGTTACTTGGTATCTCTGTGCCCCAATTTCCTCATCTGTAAAATGAGCAGGAAGTCAGGTAACTTGCCTCATGGGGTTGCATGAGAATGAATTGAGTGAAAACTTTCAGTGCTTAAGATTAGGCATGTGACTATCTCAATGTTAATTTAATTCACAAAGCAGAACTATAATACTGCAGTTCAGGGCACGCCACCAATGTTAGTTTCTGAGTTGAAATCCATTTGCCATCTCTACACATCAAGACACTCTGGATGCTCATTCTCTTGTACACACAAGAAAATGTAAGGGCTCCAAGACTAGGGATTTTGTCTGTCTTGTTCACTGCCTTCTCCTCAGTGTTTTCTTGAATGAAGATGCTCCAAGGAGGCACTCACCTCATAGCTATTCAAAACTAAAAATGGTGGGAAAGTCATATGACTATGGAATTGTCCAGAGAATTTCATGCTACCTCAAGAAGAAACATAATGTCACATAGTCTATCATGTACTGTGAACAGACACCTAGGTCATGGCCGGTATAGTGTGGCAGTTAAGAGCAGGACTTCCGGAGCCTGATGGTCAGAGTTCAAGTCCTGCTCTGTCACTTACTCATTGTATCACGTGGCTTTGTCAATATGCATCTTAGGTCCCTCATCTATGAAAGGAGAATCTATGAAACAATATGTAAAAAGCACCTAGGAGAGCACTTGGCATGCAGTAAGCACTCAATAGATGTTAGCCAGGATGGAGAAGAACTAACCACCTGTCCCATAAAGTGAAGGGCCTATTCTCTTCTCCTATTGTAAGGTGTGATCCAACGAACTGATAGAGAAAATGAATTGAAATAGACCTTTCCATGAACTCACCACACACACACACACACACACACACATCCATGCAAAGTATATTATTTTTACTCGTTGTCAACAAGCCCATATAGAGCTTCTACCAGCTTTGGGTTTTGACATATTCACAAGTTGCCCAGATACCAGGAATCTACCAATCAGGCCAAGAAAGACCATTTGTCCAGATACATATGCTCTTCTCATTGGGAAACAAGGCAAAACTGACTGTTTTGAAAGGCTCTCAGACTTTACTTCTTTCCAAAGAATAAGAGCCTTAAAATCCATTCCCTCTTGCCTTTACTTCCTTTCCATATTTATTTAATGTGTACCCTATGCTAGATTCTTGGGATAAGAGAAGGCAGCATAAAAATCTCCTGCTGTGGATAAGACACAATCCTTGTCTTCCATTTGGTTCCGTTCTGGAGAGAGACAGACACATGTGTAGTTGCAGAACTGCAGATGTGTCTGGGAGCACCTCTGGGGTAGGAGCACCAGGCCCCTCCCTCTACAACTGTAAGATTGCCTTAGGACCTGGTGGGTTTTGTGTAAACCCAGGAAGTATGACAAGAAGATAGCTCCGTCTATCCCAGGCCCGCACCAACATCCTCACCCAAATTAGTGGATCCTTTCCCTCGTTCACTCTGGCCTGCAGGCATGGATGAGAAGCTCACGTTGTAGTTGGGTCGGTTCTGGGGGGAGGAGTGTGGCATGCTGGACTGTGGCTTAGGCTGTGACTGCTGCCAGTTGTAGCCCCCAGCCTGCTGCCACCCTCCACCCATGGGCTGGGGAGATGCTTTTTGGGGCGAGCTGAGAGGTGGGAATCCTCCACCTAGTCCAGTCGGTGTGGTGGGTTTGCTGGCAAATGAAGAACTACCTACAGAGCAAAAGACAGAAAGAACATAAGACTATTTTGAATATTCCCTAGCATCTCAAGATATTGTTTGCAGTGATTTTTACTAGAAATTGCCTTGAATGGTAAAATAATGAACCTTTCTAAATAGGTAATGAAATTATAGGAACGTCTATTATTTCTTTAATCTGCCCCAAAGTAGTGATTTTTCTTAAAGTTACACAGTTAACTCGTGGCAGAATGGAATGAAATTTAGATATTTGACTCCAAGCCAGAAGAGTGAGCCCTGGCTCTTCCCAAAGTGCCAATGCGCTTCAACATCTCAATACCTCAACAGATTGTATTTCTTTATTAGAGCTGAAGCTATCTAATGACAAGAACAGAGAACAACACTAAAGTTCACTCATCAAGGTGTTACTTGAACTTCAAGATTCAGAATAGCATTGTTAGTGCCCAAGAATAAATCAAATGTTGTAAGTAGCACTAGTTCTACCCTGTTGGCATTTCATTATAGGAGATCTTGTGTAAAAGAAAAATGTAAAAAGTGATGATTTCCAAGGTCTCTTTCATATAACAAACATAAGTAAAGCAACACTTAAAGCAAAACAACTTTCACATGGACCTTTAGAATTTATAAAACATAGTCATATACATTACCACATTACTACACCTAAGTGTGTCTACAGTACAATACAAAGTATTTCTCTGATCCCATTGTGAAGAGGAAGAAATGGAAGTTCAGAAAGGTTTGCCGATACACTCATGTTTACACAGCTAGTCACTGGAGACAAACTTGCCCAAATGGGCCTTGCCTCACTTTCCGCACCCCAAAGTTCTCTTCATGAGAATTCAGTCCTTACTAAACTTGGCCTTACTCCCTCCCATTGTTTTTTCTCCTCTATTATTATTCTCCTTCCTTCCCCACCATGGAGGTTGTTACTATGGCCAGAAGACTGGCAACCAATTTGTGTTTGAACCTAAGCTGTTCATTCGCCACTCATTCTTGCATGCATGCGTTTTTCATTCATGAATACTTGTTAAACAACGACTATGCACCAGGCACTGGGCTGCACTCTGGGATTATACACAAAACAAGTGCAGAAAAAATCCCTGCTCTTCTAAAGCCAAGTCAAAGTCTTCACCCTGTTGAGCCTCCATTTCCTTCCTTTCCTTTTCTTTCCTTTCCTCTCTTCTTTCTTTCTTTCCTTTCCTTCTTTCTTTCTTTTTCTTTTCTTCCTTCCTTCCTTTCTTTCTTTTTTCTTTTTTTCTGTTGTTGTTAATCATGGGGCTTGAACTCTGGGGCTGAACATTGTCCCTCAGCTCTTCAGTTCAAAGCAAGCACTCTACCACCTGAGCCACAGCACCACTTCCGGTTTTCTGGTGGTTTATTGGAGATGAGAGTAGGGTGGACCTTCCTGCCAGTGCTGGCTTTGAACCACGATCCTCAAATCTCAGCCTCCTGAATAGCTAGGATTACACGCATGAGCCACCAGCACTTGGCAAGCCTGTTTCTTCATCAATGAAGCCAGAACTGCTTATATCACAGATACAGTATACAGACACAAAATGCTTCCCACTCCTTGAATTAAGGAAAGTCAGTGGCATTCTACAATAACAAAACAGGAAAATTCCTATGCCAGACACCTCAAAGTCTCAATAGATACTTGCTAATAAGTAAAGGTAATGCCAGGCTTGTGCAGGACTGTGTTCTGTCCTTGTCATTCACATGAAGGGCGTGAAGCCCTTTTCCTGTGCCCTTGGGTCCTTCTGCCAATCACACACCAAATATAACACCTAAGGCTGGATCTTCCCTCTGCACTGGGGTTTTATTGTATATTTTAAGGATGCTTGATATTTTAAGTCTTGGTAAATATGGAAATGTTAAAAAGCACCCATAATCCTGCAGACTATGACGTGTTCACACATTTAAGAACCACTGCTGAGAACCTCCACGCCAGACTATGGCTGGAGCAGTGAACCAGCAGGTGCCAACCCTGCCCATCAGCATTGTATGACTTTGTGATGTCTAATCTTCTGGAACACTTCCATCCTGCTCAGCGATTCTAATTGTTAATGCTGCTGAAGTGAGGATTCAGAAATACCAAGCGATAGCCAACCCTTGAGGCCAGAACTATCCTCATCAGAAGCTAACAGCAGTGGACTTCACCACTTGACAGCTCCTCAGAATTACCTAGGGCCCAGTTCCACCCCAACCCCACTGCTCCCAACTTATACAGCACTGACCATAGTGGGTATTTTAGGTTTGATTAGCATTTCTCTCTCCCACTTTACTGTAAGCTCTGAGGAGCACATACTCTAACTTCCTTGATTCTTTATTACAACCTGGATGCAGTAAAGCAGGAGTAGATAGAAAAAAACCACCTACTGAAAGAGGGATTGAGATCCAGCAATCAAAATCCATTATCTGGATGATGAACCAACGGGTCTCTCTGGTAGCCCTCAGCTTTGTGTACTCAAAATATATTTCTGCTTTAGAGTTTTTGAAATTCCTAGAAAGCCTGGGAAAAATTATTTGAATTTTCCTTTCCCTTGATTTTCCTCATCATCTATTAACTACTTCTACTGATTTCCTTTAAGTATCAATGATTCTTCTGACATTACTGAGTTCAGAAAATCACCTTGCCCTCCTTTCTCCTCCTCCTCCTCCTCTTGAAGTAGCCAGCCCCTGGCCCTTTCCCTGCTTTCTCCTAGCCCACGCTATTCTTATCGATTCTCTAGAATATATCTAGAGTTACCTTTTTAACATACCAAGCTAGTTGTTTCCTCAATTTGTACTCAAATTAACATCCAAACCAATTCTGATGTTTTCCCTGAGATGGCCATATCTATTCAACCCCATCTGTCCCTCCTTTGTCCTACCACGGATTCCAGCTTGTCTGGTTCTGAAACATTGTGTGGGGCTTTTAAACACCCCTGTCCCTCTGCCTGGGCTCCTTTCCATAATGTACATCCTAATTATATCACAAATTCCAATTTAGAGGCCACCTCTGACCACCTTTCTCTGGTTTAGGTAATCTCAGAACACTGGTGAACTTCTTTGGGCCTATCTCTTTTCCCATGGATAACAGTTGCTATGCCACAGACAAGCTATTAAACCTGGAAGCTCCTAAAACTCCTACTATACCCAAACCACATCCAGACCAATGACATCTAGTGATTCAGCTCATATCAGTGGTGAAATACAATGATTTGGATGTTGGAGTCAGAACTGTTTCATGTGCAAATACCTTCAGGAGCATTCTTGTCTTCTGATTTTTCTGAATGTTAGCTATATGGTTTGGAAGTTTAATTTTAATTTTCTGAGAATTTGCCTCTTAATTCATAGCTCTCACATAGACACCTGTTTATCATGTGATTGTAAAAGAAATACTTAAAAATGTTTAACTTGTATACCGTTAAAAAATGGGGAAAAGGCTGGTAGCTACCAGCCTTGTGACTTGGGTGTGTAACAGTCCTTATCCCCTAAAGGTTATCAGAAAGATAAAATTGCTTTAAAACACTAAAAATAGTTCCTGGAAGATAATAAAACCCTCATCCAACATTACCTGTCATGAGAACTATTTTAAAATTTGACATGTATTTATCCATTTATCACTTGTTTCTCTTCTACAATCCAAGCTTAAGGAAGGCAGAGGGGTGTTTTTATTTTGGCCAAAAGCTATTCTGTTGGTGAGAACCAATAGTCCTAACATGTAATCTTAACTACTCAGGAAGCTGAGATCTAAAGACCACAGATTGAAGCTAGTCTGGGTAGACAAATGCAAGAGATTGTTACCTCCAACTAGACAGCAAAAAGCAATAAGTGGAGGTGTGGCTCAAGTGATAGAGTCTGCCTTACAGTGAAATGTATGTCATATGTGTGTTTGATGTAGACCATATAGGATCATATATCTGTTTCCATATGTATCTATATGAGTCATCTAGACACATACATATATATTGTATCGATCATATATGACTTATGTGTGGTATATATGTTGTAGATCACAGGTATGTCATAATGTGCTACATATAGATATGTATATCTATATATGACAGAAAGAAGGATTCAAAACGAATAACATCGTAGTAATAATTGCTTCCAGTGAGAATTTTTTCTTTGAGAGAGTGTATCTCCAGGTGGCCCAGGCTGGCCCTGAACTTGCAATCCTTCTGCCTTTGTGTCCTGAGTGCTAGGATTATAGATGAATGCAAATATACCTATCAAAAATCACTAATGAGACCAGGCTCCAATGACTCCAATTCCAGCTACTCAGGAGGCTGAAATCTGAGGATCACAGTTCAAAACCAGCCCAGGCAGAAAAGTCCCCATGAGATGCTTATCTCTGATTAATATTCAAAAACCAAAAGTGATTCTTTGGCTCAAAGCAGTAGAGCACTAACCTTGAGCAAAAGAAACTGAGGGACAGCATCCAGGCCCAGAGTTCAAGCCCCAAGACTGGCAAACAAACAAACACAAATGGTGATAAAACTATTAGTTAAAAGCCGAATGGAAAACAGTATATTTTCAAATAGGATTATGTCAGAATATCTCCCCAGGTTAAAAAGGAAACTGGCAACTTTACAGTGAACCAACCTGGCAGACTGCGCTTTATCCCAGGGATCAAAGTTAACATCAAACCCAAACTGAAACTTTCTCCACTGCCCTATATCCTTCCAATATTAACATCAGAACAACTGGAGAAAAGGCTGAAGAATGTTTCCAGTATAGAAGAGTCTTTAAAAATATGACAATTAAATTCAAGACGTAAATGCAAGAGAAGACTTTCCTACCAAAATTTTAAAATAATACCTAAGCCACACCATTATTTGCCATCTCCTTCCTTTCCTTGTTTTGCACAGGATTTGTGAGTGCTCGCTGGGGAGCTGAACTTCTGAATGTTACAGCCTTGGGTGTGTAGGAGTCCCTACCCCAAAAGGTTATTAGAAAAATAAAATAGCTATAAAACACTAAAAATAGTTCCCAGAAGATAATAAAACCTTCATCCAACACTATCTGTCATGAGAACTAGTTTTATAATTTGACATGCATTTATCCACTGCCACTCCTTTCCCTTCTCCAATCTAAGCTTAAGGAAGGTAGGGGGGTATTTTTGTTTTGACCAACAGCTATTCTGTTGGTGAGAACCAACAGTCCTAGCATATAAACAGCATTTAGAAAATATTTGCTATATGAATAAATGTCCAAAAATGAACAATGAAAGAGGGTTTATTATGGTCATGGTTTTCTTTGTTTTTTACTTCTGACATTTTCCTCCCCATTAACTACACTGCTGGTCAGTTTGTAAAAATCCATACAAACAACAGACTGTCATTTTTCCAGAGTGTTTTTCACGATAGCTTAGTGGGTAAAGGCTGAGTTCCTTGGGTGTGTGGTTCGGAAAACACTGGATGGTTTTAATTATTGCAAAAACATTGATCCTGGGAAAGAATGACTGTGCATGGTGATGTTCTTTGATAAGACTCCAATATCCAGAAGGCTCAAGTCATTTTCACCAAGAAAATTCTTTTAAAGAAGTAGTTTGTTGGACTACATTCTCTCAAGCCCTTTCTTCTTATTTTCTTTGCTTCCTTCCCTTGGGCAGTGCCAGGATTCACACTGCCATGTGGAGTCTACATTCTCAGAAAGTGCTACTGAGGCATGTGGAGTCAAATTATCTATAGGGAATGTGAGCATAACTGCCTTCTGATGAAATCGTGACTTTAGCAGAATCTTGACTTTCCATCTGCTTTCTTTACATGGTGCATGTGTGTGGAGGAGGGACTGCGGTGTGAAGTTGTGGCTTCACTTTTACTAGGAAGGTGTGCATGAGCCATTCTCTAAGCTCTTTTTGCTTCAATAATTTTTTTAGGCATGGTCTTGTGCTTTTGCCAAGGGATGGCCTGAGACAAGAATCCTCCCATCTATATTCTCCCACATAGCTGATATCACAGATATGCGACACCATGACTGGCTTAGTAATTGAGATAGAGATCTCACTATCATTTTTCCTTGGCTGTCTTTGAACTACAATCCTCCTGATCTGTTCTTCTAGTCAAGTTTAAAAAAAATTTTAGGAACTCTCAAAATTATTTTACATAGTCATCTTCACTCCATACTTTTTGCTCAGAACTTAATGTAAACTTCAAATTTCAAATAGTAACATGAAGTCAGATTCTACTTAAATCTCAGCTGGGTGTGTGCCTGTAATCCCAGACTTGGGAGGCTGAGACAGGAAGATTTTGGGTTGGAGATAGCCTGGCCTCACAGGTAATATGACAGTGAGGCTTGTGAATGGCTGTCACCACATGGCATAGATGAGTCTGACCAGCTTCATCTCTTTCTTTTGCCCTGCATATTGTCTTTGTTAGCTCTAGTGCCATGTCACTCTATACACAAAACCAGGCATTAAGAGAAATGAATTAATGGGGATTATTTCCAACCTAATATTTGAGGCCTTTTTGAAACAGCCAAACTCAGCCTTCAGAATATGACTTAAGAATGCTCATGATATTAAGTCTCAGCAGTACTGATGTATTGTGACACTCAGTATTTAGACGTGAGTCTTTTTAGCTTCAATACAGTTACTTCTATCTTCGCCTGATAGGTTTGTACCTAGTGTCCCGAGGTCAGCAAAAGGATCCAGCGTCTGGGGCTTGTTCTGATGGGTGGGCGTGCCATGCGAGGATCCTGTGGGGCTGGTGGCAGCAGATTTGCTCCCCATCCCAAAACCTCCTGCAAAGGAAAGAGGGTCATTGACAATGAGTACGTTGTCCGAAGTAGAACTCTAAAACTCAGAATTTGAAAGCTACTGCTCATTTGTCTCTTAGGAAAATTAAGACAAGAGTGGAAATGTCTCATTATGTTTCTAGAGAGTCTCCCTGACTTGGACTATAGCAAGGACAAAGCACAGTACAGACACCAGCTCTTTCCTGGCCCTACAGGTGAACTGTCCTTTCCAGTGCTGACCTCTCGTGGCTTCCTTCCAACTTCCTTCAAATATCTGAAGTCTTCACATTGAGCATATTGCTTTAATATCTGTGAGCTTCAACATTTTTGGTGCCCAACCTGGGGCTTGAATTTAGGGTCTGGGCAGTATCCCTGAGCTTTATCACTCCAGGCTGGCACTCTACCACTTGAGCCGCAGCTCCACTTCCCACTTTTTTTTGCTGGCTAATGGAAGATAGAGTCTTCTCGTCTTGCCTTCCCAGGCTGGCTTCAAACTATGAGCCTCAGATCTCAGCCTCCTGAGTAGCTAGGATTACAGGTGTGAGCCACCAGGGTCCAGCTCAACATTCTTTTTTAAAGAGGGAATGTACAAAATCAAAATCACCTTCAATAAAAGCAAGACGTATACAAATGAGATCACATCAGATTTGAAAGTGCATAGCAAGGAAAATAGTGAACAAAATAAAAAGGCAACCTAATGGAATCATAAAAATATTTGATAACCATATATCTGATAAAACATTAACATTCACAATATATTTTTTTAAAAAGCTAGGGTCAAGAGGTAAAGTGCCAGCCAAGCAAGCAAATCAAGTAAGCATGAGCCCCTGAGTTCAAAACCTCATATTTCAAAGTAAATCAATAAATTAAATAAACAAAAATAGGGGAAAGAATTGAACGATGTCTTCTTCAAAGAATTGCATATAGTTACAAGCATATGAAAATTCTCAACATAACTAATTATTATGAAAATAAAAACCAGAATAACAAAAATATTATTAACCTCATACCTGTTTGGATGGTTATGCTAGACAGATAGATGATAGATGATAGATAGATAGATAGATAGATAGATAGATAGATAGATAGATAGATAGATAGATACACAGACAGATAGAGCTGGTGAGACAATACATTCTTGTGTACTATTGGTGAGTGTAAAAATGATGCATCTACTAGTGACAATGGTATGAAGTTCCCTCAAAAATTAGAAGTAGAACTAAACATGATCCACCAATTCCCATTTCCAGATATATGTTCAAGGAATTGAAGGCAGGATCAATGAACTATTTGCATCCTCCTGTTCATCAGTGTTATACACAACAGCCAAGAGGTGGAAGCAATGTCAATGTCCATCACAGGTAAGAAGCAGAGAACATATGTAATTTATGTACAGTGGCATATTATTCAGCCTTAAAAAATGAAAGAAATGTTTTCACATGCTACAACATGGATGAACCTTGGGACATTTTTGTGAAGCAAAATAAGCCAGTCACAAAAAGGCTAATACTGTTAGGAGTCTACTTACATCAAATATCTAAAATAGTCCAACTCAAAGAAATACAAAGAGGAGAGTGAAAAATGTGGAGTTGTTTCCTGGTATATAGGATTTCAGTAATGCATGTTGGAGGAGCAAGGATCAGGAGACCAGTTGTAAAATAATGCACATGCATTTGACAACATTCTACTGTATGCATAGAAACTACATGAAGGGCAAACTTCATAGCATAGCTTTTTCTTGTTGTTTGTTTCTTGTGCACATCCTGGGGCTTGCACTCAGGGCCTGGGCACTCCTTCAGCTTTTTGTGCTCAAAGCTAGCACCCTACCACATGAGCTAGAGCTTTACTTCTGACTTTTTGGGTTAATTGGAGATAAGTGTCTCACAGATTTTCCTGCCCCGGGCTGGCTTGAACTACAGTCTTCCGATCTCAGCCTCCTAAGTAACTAGACAGGCATGAGTCACTGGTGCTTGGCTGTTATTGCTTTTTAAAACCATAATAAAAACAAAAGGAGGCAGTAATTGCTTCAGAAAGTTGAGCTAAGTACATTTTTATATGTGTATACGCATGCTCACACTTATGTTGGCAAGAATACCAACACACCAAACAACTCTGTAAATGTCAGAATAGCTGTGAGAGAGACCTTACTTATTACAAATAAATCCTACCTTAATAAGTAATTTGGAAAGAATCTTTACATTGATTCAGCATCTACTCTATGCCAGAAACTTTCATATGTCATTTAAACTTACCCAACTATATAGAATAAACGTTATTGCCCCATATTTCAGGTAAGAAAACTGAAGCTCAGACATGTCCAAAAATTTGTAAATAGTAGATCTGACATAGCAAAATTAAACAATATATACTTAGCAGTTCTCCCATGTCGCCAGGATATGAATCTTTAGGAAAAATCAACACCAATTACCCAGGTGTGCTTTGTGTAATTTCCATTATGTAAATACTTCCATGAATGAAGAAGTGAGTACAGAACACAACCTGTAGACCTTTACCTGGTTTGGCGTGCCAGTCCCAAGCTCCAGAAACATCTGGCTGAATGTTCACAGCAGGAGTACTGGAAGCTGCAAATAGAGAGAAGAAAAAGAATTAACACAAGCTAGCTCAGAATGCTCTTTTCTGAGTCCACACAGGATCAAAGCATCTTTTCTGTACCCTGTATGGTTTCTCAAGATTCTGTGGGTTCATGGGTTCATTCTTTCTCTGCAGTTTGGGATGCTTTCTGCCTGCATCTATTGTTGCTTACAAGAGGCTTGGTAGGAGCCATATATGCTTTGTCTTTGGCTCACCTTTGCCTTACTTCCATATCCTCATACTTGAATTAGTAATTGTCCATCTGTCTGTCTTCTTTAAATTGTGAGTCCCTTGAAGTCAAGAACTGTCTTATTCATCTTATATTCCAATTCATGAAGAGGAGAAAGCTAGGCTCTGGTGGTTTGTGCCTGCAATCCTAGATACTTAGGAGGGTGAAATCTGGAGAATTGGTTTGTCAGCCCAGGAAGACAAGTCCGTAAGGTTCCATCTCCAATTAACCAACAAAAAAGCCAGGCTTAGAGGTGTAGCTCTAGTGGCAGAGTGCCAACCATGAGCAAAAATCAGAGCAAGGTGCTGGGAAGGTGGTTTAATGGTAGAGTGCTTGCCTAGCATGCATGAAGCCCTGGGTTTGATTCCTCAATATCACATAAACAGAAATACCCAGAACTAGAGCTGTCGCTCAAGTGGTAGAGTGCTAGCCTTGAGCAAAAGTTGCTCAGGGACAGTGCCCAGGCCCTCAGTTTAAGCCCCAGGACTGGCAAAACAAAAAACAAAAACAAAAACAGAGCAAGTACAAGGATCCTAAGTTCAAGCCCCAGAAACAGCAAAATAAAGGGAGAAGGGTCCTTAAATCCATCAGCAAGATGACTGAAGTATGACCCACTTAGAACTAAAATTGTGTTTTCTACTCTGTTGTGATATGAATTGAGAAAGATGAATCACTTAGAAAACAAATGGAGTACTAAGTATATACTGCCCACTCTGCTGGTAACAGAGATGTGTCTATTGTCACTCAAAAGAAATCCTTTACAGCTTCAAATTAGAAGATTCTTTTCCCTCTCGAAGTTCCAAACAGAAATTTAGAGAGATGTTTTGCTGTAGGAAAAATTTTCTTTCTATGTAACCTTTAGGTTTTGCCCATACAAATAACTGAGCAAAATGCAAATGCCAAATAGCACTGCAAGTGAGACTGAAAACATCACACACACGCACACATGTATGCATACATATACCATGCTAGCCCCAGAATGATCAAGGCACCAGAGTTAGCATTCTAGGCCTCATATTTTAACTGTTTTGTTAACTCAGTATGAACCATTACATCTTGTTCTTTCCCATAAATAACTTTAAAAGAAGATACCAATATCAGCAACAATGGGTCTTTCCTTTCTATCCCTTCTTTTTCTTTTTCTATAAGTCAGGAAAATTGAGGTGTAAGTTAGGCAATTTTGCTAACATCTGCTGTGGGATTTCTTTAAACTCTGATCTCAATCTTATAGCCACTAATAGACAAAATGAACCATCAGAATTTCAACCTAATCACAATTCAAACCAATATATCCCTTATGGAGCCTACCTCAAACAAGGCACAATACCGGAGAGCAGAGGCCTAAAAAGACATACTAACTATCCACAGGAAACTTAAAACCAGCCAGACATAGTAACATACAAATAAAAAAAAGTTCCCAATATTTTAATCCTTATTTTATTTGGTTAGTTATTAATACTTCCAAAATCATGTCCTAAACAATTCTTCTCTTAAAAAAAATTTTCAAATGGGCACCAGTAGCTTACCTTTGTAATCCTAACTACTCAGATTTGAGGATCCTGGTTCTAAGCCAGCTCAGGTAAGAAAATCCATAAGGCTCTGATCTCTAATTTACCATCAAAAAGTTGGAAGTAAACATGTGGCTCAAGTGGTAGAGCATTAGCCTTGATTTAAAAAGCTCAGGGAAGTGCGTAGGCCCTGAATTGCAGGCCAGCACAAAAAATAAAATTAAAATAAAGTAAATTTGCAAGAGCAAACCAATGTCCACCTAAAAGATACTTCCAGGAAGATCCCAGGCAGCCATACTCCTCTATTCTGCCCTCGGAGCATGAAACAGCCTGGAGCAGTCAGTGCCCCTGTTCCCTAAAGGCAGTTAAGGTTTTCGTTCAAGAGGGGAGAATGAGGAAAGGGGGATCTGTTAGGTAGATAGGCACAAAAATTGGCAGGCATAACACATGGCAGATGGTAAGTGTCCCATCATAGCACTTCTTGTTCCCACAGTGCCCCAGGCTTCTGCTCAAATGTTTCTTCTTCCCATAATGCTGCTCAAAGACATCTTCCCATAATGTCCTGGGTGCCCACTCAACCAATGAAAAGAGCCAGGATGGAGCATACACAAGCCATCAAACAATCAGTGCAAAGCCCAAGGAAGAAGATATGAGAGCATCTCTGTACAAGAGCCTTCCATTAGACTCCTGAGCCTCTCTGCAGACTCATTTCTTACTCTTCATAGCTCTCCTTCACTTTCAAATAAGCTTACTTTCTGTTTACCTTAAGAAGAAAATAAAAAGAATAGGGGCTCAATAAATACTTAATTGCATTTGAAGGTGATATCTCTTGAGTTTTAAGAAGAGCTTGATGATACCTTCTAGAAACCCAAGGAAAGTACCCCAGGGATCTGGCAGGGATCTGTTCCTCCCACCCCACTCCCTGCCCCCCCAAACACAGAGTCTTACCTCTCTGAACTATCCTACAGGGAAATGATGCAAGTGACAGCAGAATGAAAATTGTTTTCAAAGGAGGGATAATGGCTCTCACTCACTGCCACAATAGAGACTAAAACGAGTGTGGCTACAAAACAAAGACGTGCTGGCTAGTCTAAATTGGTGACAAACAACATGCTATTACCAGCTCACAAGAAGAACTGGACCCAGGCCACTATGTGGCAGTTACTATGTCAACAGTCACCAAAAATAACCCTCTTATCAAAGCAATGATTTTGAAGTACTAGACTCAGGAAAAAAGTATAGCCTCTACAGTGACCACTATGCATCAAAGAAATGTTGATAGAGAAAAAAAATCTAGTTAATATACTACTTACATATTAGATATAGATAATATCTTCTGTGTGCCAGTAATTCTTCCAAGCATTAGGTGCCTTGATGAACAAAACAAACTTCCCTGTGTTAATAAATCTCAGTCATACTGAGAGCTTGGCTCAAATCACACTAGCTACATTTCAGGTGTTCTACAGCTAGCTACACATGGCTAGTGACCATCACATTACACAGAAGGACACCACATCAGGATAGTATGTCTCCAACTCTGCTACATAGAGTATTAATCACATGGATTAAAATATAATATTTTGTTAATTTAAGACTCTGACGTTGGAACATTTCAAAGATTTATTTCCAATCAGGATGCATCTATCAATCAATTTAAAACGGCTGAGTCTTTTTGTTCTTTTTTAGATGTGTGTGCCAGTCCTGGGGCTTGAACTTAGGGAGAAGGCACTGTCCCTGAGCTTTCTTTACTCAAGGCTGGTGCTCTACCACATGGGCCACATGCCATTCCAGCTTTTTCTGAGTAGTTTATTGGAAATAAGAGTCTCATGGACTTTCCTGCCTGTGTTGGCTTCAATGGCAATCTCAGATCCCAGCCTCCCAAGGAGCTAGGATCATAAGCATAAGCCACCAGCACCCAGCTTTGTTGTTCAGCTCTTTTACTGGTACGTAAAATAGCAATATAGCCTACATTCGACAATGCCTTATGTGTCTGTGTAAACAGCAATAATTATAATTTATTATAAAGAATTCCATCAAATAAGTTTAGGAAAAGTTGAATAAAACAATGTTCAGCAAGTTTTTTTTCTTCTATAAGACACTCCATTGATTTTGATATGTTAATGTGAATTGTTCATTTCTATGGGTTTTCTCTAAAAACAAAAATGCACTTACACAATTACTTTTGCTTTTATATCTGAACAGTTGGTATGTGTCTTGTAGAAAACTCTGCACCACTGAATCAATATAAAATTCTTTCTTACCATGCACTGTGGGTGAAGGACTTCTAGTAGGCTGTAGAAAGGGGTCACTGGAGGCATTAGATGTGCTCAGAAAAGAACCCAGCAGATCCTGACCTGATGGCTTAGAAGGTGCTCCAAATGGGTCAAAGGTAGCACCTAGAAAACAATGGGAAAATGTGTTTATTTATCCCATACATTCATTTATTCTATAAATACTAGGCCAAAAACTTGAAAAATCAGGATGATAACTACTTCCTAGCATGCACCATAGGCCCATTCTATATCAAATTCTTTCTCCAGGCCTAACAGTAAACACAAGGATCTCTGATCACAAAAGAAAACTTTACTTTGCTGCAAATGCAGTCATTATATTCAATGTACACTATGTAAAAAAATGTGGTTGGGGATGGGGGGGCAGGGGAGTAAAGGGGTGAAAATATCCTAACTTAAAACCTAACTTATGAAATTGTAACCCCATTGTACAACTCCTTTAAAATAACAATACATAGGCACACAGCAAAAAAAAGAAAGACAACCTCACCTCTGCAGACAAAGGCAAGTCCAGAGTTAGTTCTGAGGTAAACAACAATGTGCTAGGAAACAGATGCAGATTTAGTGAAACAAAGAAAAGTGTATGAATGATTAAAAAGAGTGAGGAAACTGGGATGCCATAGTTAGCCAGCAAAATGCCACGACCACTGTATCATCCTTTCTGAGGACAGTTCACTAAAACCATGTGCTCTCAGCTGCTCCTCTATTTTTTCCCTATTAGTGATTTCATCTTCCTTTGTAATGATGACACTGAGACCCAGAAAGAACCTCACAAACTTAGCTTCTTGCCCAGGATTAAGGCTGGAATTTATGATCAAGTCTTACTGCTTATAGTCAAGTGGTTAAAATCACCAAGATGAATAGGGATAATTGACCTTTTCTCATTATTGAACTAGGTAGAAAACCAGCTTCATCCCCCTGCAGTGAAAAGTCACTTCCTATCCTATAAGAACTGCTGAGTGTTCTCTGCCAGGAGTGGAATTGGGTCAATTCTAAGACATGAGATGCAAACCAGTTAACAGATAAATCACATCCCCAATTCATGCAAGACATAATAAGGCTTACTAAGTTTCTAACTATGACTTCCCTGCTGTAATATCTTCCCAACACTTTGCTGGGCAGCAGATTAGACTCGTGTGACAGCAATGGCACTGACTGTGTTTCAGGCACTTTGTAAGACAATATACATTCCTTACCACATATAATCCTTACAATGAGATTTGTAGGGTACTTGCAAGAGAAAACTAGGTTAATCTGCCTATATCTATGTTTGAGGCAAACTCAAGGAAGATGTTTAAGTTTTCTATTATTTGGTATACTTTTAGTATCATCTTAAATTAGAGGCATTCCCAAATAACTAAGCATGAAAAGCTGTATATCACCAACAAGAGTTCAGTTTTCTCTTTTCAGAAATTCTGGTTAAATATTATCCCCAACTAAGGATATCAGGTTTTCAGTAAGGTTACCCAGAGATTTAAGTCTTGATCCTGTGTTTCTAATCCAGGCCTTTAATTCTAGACTTTAGTTCTTTTCCTTCCAGGGGAATAAAAACTTGAGTTGTAGACCAGGTCTGCTATTAACAGTTAGGAATGCTCAGGCACGTCAATCAACAGATCTAGTGCACACTTTCATTATATGCAGACTGAAACACATAATGAATTCACATCTAAAGCCCTTCCCAGCACTGACACTGGAACACTACCAGTGTGATACTGTGGTTAGACTATCGAAGTCACACAAGGCACTTGATCTTAAAACTTGACTACCATGTAGTATGCTATCTTGGGGATTTTATTTTCCAGACAGTTTTTCTCTGGTGGATCAGAACTAGATAGAAGGAAGTGGGGAGGAAATAATCATGGTCTAGGATTTAGGACACCTGATTTCCTATCCTGGATCCACTAATAACCAATGTAGGAGCTTGAAGCTCAGTACTCACACTTTGATTGTGATGCTATTTTCACAAAGGATGCTTCCAGTTAAGCTACACAAACCGAGACTAGCCCAGAGCCTTCTGAGAAGTGTAGGATGAGCTTGGTGGGAAAAAATTCTTACAGTATACCATAGACCTAGAGAGTTAAGACATGTCCTTCCACCCTTCCTAATGTGGTATCCCCTTGATTAATGGTAACAATGACAGAGGAAAGATGGTTTGAGTTGGTTCTTCAGAAGTTGTAATGGAGCTCTGCTTATCCAGCCATGCTGTCTTGCAAATGTCAAAAGGCTGTGAAGGGCCAATCATAGGAAGGCTTAAGCCATTGGTAATGGGCAGATAAAACTCACTGAGCCACACCAGGCTTAATCTCCTTACTCAGGACCAGTTGCTCCATTTGTGTTGATTCTGTGGCTAAAATAAGTCCTTTGAGCCTGTTTTGAAGTAACTATTTCGAAGTAACTATTCACTCTGAATAACCAAAGCATAATTCAGGAAAATATGGCACCAGGAAGGTATTACAGGTAACTAAAAGGAAAAAAAGCTGAAGTCATATAGCTGAGTTGGCTATTTTGGTGGACCCTAGCCAATCAATTATCAGCAATATGAACTAAAACCATTAATTTATTTCTGAACCTCCATTTCCTCAACTATAAAATGGGGATACTGGAAGCATTTACCTAATGTGATTTTGTAAGAAATGAATTGTCCTCTAGTTTTTTATTCTACATCTTTCAAATGGTAAGTATCTTACAAACATTGTCTATTAAAAATATTTTTTAGTAATAATTAATCTATCTACCTCTCTAAGCAGAAGTAACTAAAGGAGCTCAGGACATCAAGTCTTGAGAAAAGAAGGGCTGAAAGTATGGCCCTAGTGATAGAATGGCTGCCTAGCAAGTGTGAAGTCCTGAGTTCAAACCCAGGAAAGAGGAAGGGAGGGGAGGAGATGGGAGGGGAGAGGAGGAAATGAGAAGAGTAAGGGATTCGAATATTCTGCCCCATCCAAGTGGACAATACATCATCCTCTCTTGTGTTCTCCATTTAAGTGGGAGCTTAATATAGACTTCTCAAGCGAAACTTCCAAGGATCTCAAAAAGTAAAGTGCAACCTGAAAAGCATTACCTTCTCCCACTCGAAGGGTCGGCGATGCAGAAGCCGAGGTGGCGGTGCGGCGTGGCGTGGACTGGGCGGATGCAGGACCGCTAGGATGAAACACGTCTTCCATCCCTGACTGTCCAGCCTGGGCAGGCCCAGCGGCGCCTCCGCCTCCGAACAGGTCGCTCAGGAGTTCGGAATTCGTGGGAGGAGCCAATGGGGGAGAGAAGTTCTTGCTCATATCCGAGCCTTCTAGGCCCAGAAGGTCCACCTCCTCCTCGGGAGCCGGAGGGGCAGCTGGCTCCTGCTGCTTGCCACTGGCCTTCTTGGCTCCCTGATGCTTGTCGCCGTTGGCGTTGCCATGCGGACTAGAAAGGGTCAGAAGTTCATCGTCCGATTGCTCGCTTTCCTGGTTCACTAGGGCAGCGTGGTCCTCCTCACACAATGCTTTCTCTGATTTCTGATCTATGAGAGGCCAGTGAGCCAATAAATGGTTAGTTACTGACCATAGCACTGTTGGGGTTTGTTATAGCACATATGCATTATCCCAGGAGAAAATCATTCGGCCTGAGCAAGCAGTGCTTGGAGACCCTGACCAATCAGACCCTTGATGTATTTCATCCTGTTTAGTTGAACATCTGAGAGGCAGTATAGCCTTGTGGGTTAAGCAGAGGAGCTCTGGAACCAGAAAGCCTGAGACTGAACACCAACTCCACTCCTCACTGGTTCTGTGACTCTGGTCTAGTTGTTTTACTTCTCTCAGTTTGGTCTTTAAGGGGTGATAACTAGTACCTATTTCACCAGCTACTATGAGAATGATAAGAGGATGTGAAGACCAGCTCAGATCAATAGCAAGGAGAACTTACACACTGATTACTATGACCATTGCTAATTTTCAGACACTGTTCTAGGTCCTTTGGAAAACAGCTATAGTAACTCCTAGTCCTTTGCTGACACATGTCACTCAATTTCATTTCTTCACTTGGCTGCAGCCCAAAGCAAGGCCTTTCTTCTATAGTTCAAAGCAGAAGTGACGCACACACTGATAAACACATAGAATGGTTTTGGTTCACCTCTTCCTTTTGTCATACCAAGAGGAGATATTTGCAATATAGACTAGACTCAGGAAAGATCTTTCTGGGGAAGGAAAGGAGAGCCAGTGAGTAACTTTCCAGGCCCGGCTTGAGAAGACCTTCCCCTAGAACGTTGCTATTTACTTCAGTTAGACCCAGCATCTAAATCAGGTACTAGACCAGACCCCTTATCCCCAAGACTGCCAAAAGCTCGGTGAAAGGAACAGCTTTCCTAAGTTTGGTGCAAACTCAGCTGGCCAAAAACTCGATCTCAATATGCTTGGTTACAGGTTTCTAGCTGAGCTATTGCTGGAGATGTTGTCACATAACTACCATATCTCCTTTCTAAAATGCAAAAGTTCTCTATTCCTAAGCACACCTGACTCTGAGAGGTTCAGATAAGAGGTTGTGCATCTGTGCTAATACCTCTTCACAAGAACAAAGACACTATTTGTAAGTTAATTACTAAAATGACAATGGAAAAGTTAAGAGTCGAGTTCTAATGAAAGCTTTTACTATAAGACAGAGGTAAAGGAAGCAAAGAAGTAGCTGCGAAATCTACCTGATAACTGGGTTTAAAAAGTCTGTGGTCCCATTTCTCAAATGAAAATTCTGAAATTCAGCTTTTAAATTCAAAAGAATCCTATGAATGTGTGTGTGTGTGTGTGTGTGTGTGTGTGTGTGTGTGTGTGTGTGTGTGTGTATACAAAAATTTTGTCCATCATGGGGCTTGAACTCTGGGCCTAGGCGCTGTCCCTGTGCTCTTCAGCTCAAGGCTAGCGCTCTACCACTTGAGCCACAGCACCACTCCCAGTTTCCTGGTGGTTTACTGGAGATTAGAATGTCATGGACTATCCTGCCAGGGCTGGCTTTGAACCGTGATCCTCAGATCTCAGCCTCCTGAGTAGATAGGATTATAGGCATGAGCCACTGGCACCCAGCCCTAAGAATATTTTTGCACCAAACACTGAAAACTTCTATAGGCAACAAAAATTCTGCCTTCATTCACAAATCAGAAATAAATCAATCAATAGTTACAAGGCCCTCCCCAAACCATGTACCAACCCCTTTCACACATAAGTCCTGACTGCTCAATACTACACAAGCCTTGAAGTGAATCTCAGAAAATCCTAAGGTAAGTATGGCCCATAAGTGTGGAATGCCAGTGTAGAATGCCAGTGCCAAGATACAGAGAGCAACAGTCTGAAGTGAAATATTGAAAATGTTGAAAAGGGCCAGGTGCCAGAAGCTCACACCTGGAATCCTAGCTACTTAAGTAGAAGGCTGAGATCTGAGGATCAAGGTTTGAAACCAGCCTGAGCAAGAAAGTCTGCGAGACTCTTATCTCCAATTAACCACAAGAAAGCTGGAAGTAGAGCTGTGGCTTAAGTACTTGACAGAGAACTAGCCTTGAGCAAGAAAGTTCAGGAACAGCACCCAGACCCTGAATTCAAGCCCCTGGTCCAAAACCAAAAAGAAACAAAAAAAAGGTTGAAAAGAATTCTGAAAATCTCTCTAGGTTTAGGAAAAAGCAGCACAGTAATGGGGCAGTGATGTCTACAAGTAGCTTTAACATCCTTGTGCCAGAATTAAGCGCCCATCTGCCTTAATAGTGATTATAGCAAACTGGGAATGTGGTTGACTATACTTTTAGAAAGTTTAGTTGAAGACAAGAAGTAGAGTCCTTTGCTGATCTCTTTGTGTTGTCAGCAGCATAAAGAAAAATCTTAGAAAACATCACACTTACTCATCAACAGGAAAGATAAGATGATCTAGAACATAGTACTAAGAGAGAGAAGGTAGAAGTTGGCATAAGATGGATGAGAGCATCCACTGGGTTGAACATAAGGAAGGTTCCTGATTTGAAATAAAAATGGAAGATTCTAGGTGAGTTTGTTCTAGGTGTTTTAATTTAGATTGCTTCCACAGTGAAATGTCTTTATAGAATGATGCAACTGATCACCTAATCATGTAACTCAAAGAAATATTTGGGGGTATGAGGCCCTGAATTCAATCCCCAATACTGAAGAAAATGCTTAGATGTACCTTGCCAACAGAGAGAAGCAAAGAAACCACCTTGTCCCAACTGCCTGGGGTTGTCTGGAGGGACGTCGAGCGGAGCCTGTCCTGCAAGACAAAAGGCCATGAAGCATCAGTGACATGCAGGAAACGAGGTGACGTCATAGGAAACACAGAAGGTTCTGAAAATACCTCCTAAGGCCAGAGTATCTTGATGCTCCTGGTGAGAAGAGAAGAGGATGCTCGGATTGACATCTTTTGTGCAGTAATGCTCCCATGGTGGAGTTAAGTCTATTACTTTGTCATGGGGCTGTAGCTCGACATCCAATGTCACTTGAAATAGCTGAGGATATTTTTCTGGTACATCACATGCATCCAACTCAGGCCTAAACAGGGATTTCAAAGAGTAACACCAGTGAAAATAAAAACAGTGGAACCAGTATGACATTCCATATAGAAACCTTCTTAGGGTGAGATGAACTTCTGGGAAAGACTCATTAGATAGGTCATTTCGTTTTTAGATGCTCAGTTTTCTCATATAGAAAAAAAGAAGAGAATAATGCCTGTTCGAAGAATCAGTGCTTCTGCATTATAAAAGCATTCTAGAGACCAGACTGGCAGAGTCAGACAGTGTGCACTACAAAACCAAATTGCTTGTGTTAAAACTATGGAACAAGCCCCAGAGTTATCACTGTGAGCCTTTGACTATGTATTCCGGTACTGGCTCTGGAAACTCCCACTCATCACCTTAGCTTCAGTCATAACATCTAGTTCCATAGCCACACTCTATAACACTGAAGAGTTAATGTCTGAAACAGAGGGGCCTCCAGAACTTGGCTTCAGTGGCATGACCAGGCATTCATTCTTATAGTTCACTGCTCATTGCATACCACTGATTAAACGGTCACCCTGTGGGAAAAACAATGCAAAGGATCCAAGTAATAATTTGCTGTTCCCTCACAGAAAATGTTTGACCTTTCTATTCTGAAATCTGTTATCCATTTGTTTCTTCAAAAGACCAATCACAGTCAACAGAAAGATGTAAAATGCATCTACCCGCTGTATGGTGAGGCTACAGTCAACAGTGCTGTTAAACAGCAGAGAATTCTGGGGGATGCTGCCAATGGCTTCTGAAGAGACTCACAGCAGCGCTGATCAACAAAGACCATTGGTCCAAGCAGCACTTACTTGGTGAACTTTAAAACAGTCGTTTCCAGTGGTATGAATCCAGAATGAAACTGGAGCTGGAATATCTGTGTGTTGGTCACCTAAAAGTATGTAAGAGAAGCACATTACAATAGATTCGAGAAAATGGAATCTGATCCAAAGATTGCCTCTGGGGGAGCAAAATAGCTGTAACTATTTCCACACCTGAATCTGTGTTTACAATACATTTTAACTGATCTCCTAGCATCATTTCTAGCCCCTAACTTACATGTACTCTTCCTTGACAGTCTATTTCCTCATCCACTGATATACAATGTTCTTGAACATTGCTATGCTTGAATTCACTATGCCCTTCTTCCCTAGATGCCCTATTCCAAATCCATTGAATTAACCCTTCAAGGTTCACCTTGAAAAGTCATGTGCTCTCTGAATTCTACCTGAGCCACCACTGCCTAAAACAAACTGTGCTCCCTACAACACAATGGGAATTCCAATACATGTGGGAATTCCCTGCTCTGGGATGGATTTTCCTTCCTCCCCCCCTCCCTCCGTCCCTTCCTTCTTTCCTTCCTTTCTTTCTTTCTTTCATTCTTTCTTTCTCTTTCTTTTCCCTTTCTTCTTTCTTTCTTTCATCTCCTGTCATTTTTTTTACATTTTTGGTGACAACACAGTTTGAATTTATGAACTTGCTATGTAAGTGCCCTACTGCTGAGCTGTATCTTCAGCACTTTTTTGCACTATTGTTAAGGCATCCTGTCAAAACTGAAATTACAGGGACATATTACCATGCCCAGCTTCTTTCCATTCAGAGGGATTCTCACACACTTTTTGCCTAGGCTGACCTGGAACCATGATCCTTCCAATCTCTGCAGGTATGTACCACATGACCAACTATGGGTGAAGAAAGCACCTTGATGCATTGTAGTTATAAATTCATTTGTTACTTATCAACCCCTTTGAACAACTACTTAATAGTAATAAAGATATTTTAGATACTTTTTTTTTGGTCAGTCATGGGGCTTGAACTCTGGGCCTGGGCACTGTCCCTCAGCTCTTCAGCTCAAAGCTAGCACTCTACCACTTGAGCCACAGCACCTCTTCCGGCTTTTTCTGCTTATGTGGTGCTGAGGAATCGAACCCAGGGCCTCATGCATGCAAGGTAAGCACTCTTCCACTGAGCCACCTTCCCAGCCCCTAGATACTTTTTTTATTGTAAAAATAGTGTACAGAGGGGTTACAGTTACATGAGTAAGGTAATGAGTACATTTCCTATCGAGCATTGTTACCTCCTCCTTTGTTTTCCACTACCATCCCTTCCCACCGCCCTAACTCCTCCCTCCCTCTTCCCCACAAGTTGTAAAGTTCATTTTCAACAGATATTTTTAAAGAAAAGGGGGGTTTGCAGGTTCCCTTATGCCTGTGATCCTAGCTATTAAGGAGGCTAAGATGTGAAGATCAAAGTTCAAATCAAGCCCAGGCAGGAAAGTCTGTAAGACTTATGTGTCCAATTAACCACCAAAGAGCCAGAAGTAGGCCTGTGGTTCAAGTGGTAGAGCACTACCCTTGAACAACAACAAAAAATAAAGCTCAGGACCATACCCAGTTTCTAAGTCAAGGTCTAGGACCAGCAAAGGAGGCAGTGGGAGGAGTGTCTTGAAAACTTTACTGCCAAGGAGAACCTATGATCTGCCCATCCTCAGCCACTTAAATAACTAGGATTTTAGGTGTAAGCCATTGGTGCTTAGATTTAGGCTGAATTTCTTTTTAGTCCCCCAGCTTTCTTTTATTTTATATAGGCTATGGGGAAAAACAAGTTAAGCATTTTGTGTGTGTGTGTGTGTGTGCGTGCGTGTGTGCGTGTGTGTGTGTGTGTGTGTGTGTGTGCGCGCGCGCACGCGCGTGCTGGTCCCTAGGCTTGACCTCAGTTCCTAGGCACTGTTCTTGAGCTTTTGTGCTCAAAGCTAGTGCTCTACCACTTGAGCCACAGTTCTACTTCTGGCTTTTTTGATAGTTATTTTTTGATAGTTACTGTCTTTGCTGCCCAGGCTGGCTTCAAACAGTGATCCTCAGATCTCATAGGTTGAATATTAGGTGTTTAAGGTAGGGTGCAGTCTTTATTCTTGTCTGTTCTAAACAGTTAGGCACTGGATAAAACAGAGCATAAATTTAGAAAATACTTGATTAATTAGATTACAGTTACTTGCAAAATGATCCTTATTAGCCAATAAGTGGCAATAACCCAAATACCTATCAACTGGTAATAAAATAAAATGTGGTATAATCATGTAATGGAATCTTTTTATAAGGTAATAGTGTATTGATACTTGCAATAACATAAATCTCCAAAATGCTATGCTAAGTGGAAAAAAGCCATGGGAGACCATGTATTATATCATTCCATTTCTATGAAATGTACAAAATAACTAAGTCTCTAAGAACAGAAAGGAGATTCAAGGTTTTTAGGCGATGGGGAAAAACAAACGGGCAGTGATCACTAGTGAGTATGAGGTTGTTTTAGACACTGGAGCTAGGTAAGTTTAGTGGTTGCATAAGCATTTAAACATTTTTTTGGCAGAACTCAGAGCCTTACACTTGCTAGGCAAGCATTCTACCACGTGAGACATACCTCCCTTTTGAATCTGCCAAAAACAAAACAAAACAAAAGTTCCACTGCAGTGAATACTTGATAGGGTGGCTTTTATGTAATATAAATTTCATCACAGTAACAACAACAAAAAAACCTATCTGACTCCACATCCTTAGCTGAAATCTCACCCCTATATACTGATCCAAGCAGAGATATTATAAGAAAAACAGCATCCAATGACCATGATTGGCTAAAAGTTTTAAAGCTGTCATTTGTGGCATAATAATCATACCACAGTCTTTGAGTAACAACCTTCTGAGTTCCTCCTTTGTAAAGTGACTAAGATGGACATAACCAATCTTTAAGGGCTTGTTCTCATCCTAAACTCAAGTCAGGCAAACCAATATGAGAAAAGACTCAAAAATACTCCTACTAAAATCTCTGGTAAGCTAATGCCATTGATGTTTTCCAATAGCTTACCTTAGCTTGCAGCCGGCTCCCAATGGTGGACCTCAAATGATACATGGAAACAATCACATCTCCTTGTACAGTAATGTTTAAGGGAATGAAGATTTTTCCATCTTGAACACGGTATTCTCTTTAAACAGAAATCAAAACATATATTGAAAGAGAGTCTAATATTGTACGATCACATAAACACAGGCCCTCTAGAGTTCTGACTAAAGAAATGGTTTGTCCAGGCCTAGACCCAAAAGACATTTCTTTTTTTTTGGGGGGGGGGTCTGGTCGTGGGGCCTAAACTCTGGCCCTGGGCGCTGTCCCTCAGCTCTTCGGCTCAAGGCTAGCACTCTACCACTTGAGCGCCACTTCCACCTTTTTTCTTTTTGCTTATGTAGTCTGAGGAACCGAACCCAGGGCCTCATGCATGCAAGGCAACCGCTCTACGACTGAGCCACCTTCCCAGCCCCCCAAGAGATATTTCTTATGTTGAGCAAAAACTGGGCTACAGCCAATGCCAGCTGTGTGCAAACAGTTCTGCAACATTTTAATGCAGGTTACCACTCCAACCTATCTGGACTTCTGAATAGCCGAACTCCATCTCTGCTTTGCACACCTCTTGTTTCCCTCAAAAGTACCATTCTTCAAATAGTCTCATTTTCTTAACCATAAGTTAATACTTAAGCCAGTGCCTATGGCTCATGTCTGTAATCCTAGCTACTTAGGAGGCTAAGTTCAGAGGATCACAATTTGAAGCCAGCCCAGGCAGCAAAGTCCATCAGACTCTTATCTCCAACTAACCATCCAAAAGCTATAAGTGGAGCGGTGGTAGAACTCAAGTGGTAGAGTCCCACCCTTGAACAAAAAGGCTAAATAGTGCCCAAGTCTTGAGTTTAAGTCCCAGTGCCAATATATAAAAAAATTACTAGTTAAAGTAGATAAAAGGAATTTAAAAATCCATAGAAACAGAAATGCCAAACTGTAAGGGTCCAGAAGACAAATGACCAAATTCAACCGATTCCCAACTAATTTCATTCTGTGCTACCACCTACTCCTTTCTCTCTAAAACTCCCATAACCTCCACTGATACCTGCTCTTCATTTTAGAGCCTATAACTTCGTATCACAACTCACCTTGAAATATCATTCATCACATCAAGCCGATTTCCTTAAATATCTCTCACTCCTACTGTGTGAACACTCATTGTAGCTTATGCCAGTCCATGAGCCTGTAACACCGTTCAATGTGCTAAGTCCTTTGATTTAGCTGTGTTTGTTTATGACTATACTGTGATCATTACACAGTGATATAGTCTTATAGGAAGAATATTATCCACATCAAACAGATGTGGATGATAAAAGTGAGGAAAAGATATCATTACTTACTTCATTCGTTCAAAATCTGTGCAAGTTGAATATATTTTGGTTTCTCCAATCAGCACATCACAGTAAGGGCGACATCCATTTCTCTGTTTGTTGAAAAAAGGAATTGGACTGACAGTGATCGCCTTGATAGTGAGAGGCTTGAAGTGTGGACGGTAGGGTTTTTCTGCTAGTAGGTCACACATATAGCCCAGATATCTGAAATAAGACATTGTTATTCTGTGGATTCCATCACACCAGGAGAAAGAAACAATCCTTGCCATGGAAGTCTGTCCTTGCAAATTATTGTTTGCAATGAAAATTCACTGGCAGAGAAGATAGTTGAAGAGAAGGCTGAACATTTTTATCCATTGTCATTGGTGAATTTAACTGAGAAATGAGTAAATCAGAAAGCCTGTGGGAGCTAAGCCTGGTGGCACAATCCTGTATTCTTAGCACTCAGAGAAGCTGAGCCAAGAGCAACACAAGTCCAGGCCAGACTGGTCAACAGAGTGAGCACTTTTCTCAAAACTAAACAAAACAGGGGGAAAAAAAAGTATAGGAGCTTTTTAGTTCAGTATTTAAACATTGCTCCCTGTTTCATCTACCAGATTGAGCTTATCAGCCAAAGGCTGATTTTAAATACATTTGAGAATTTTATTATCAGAATTTTATTACCAAAAACATAAGAAGATGCAATTTCAATGAGTAAAGGGGAAGAAATTATAATTATAGGGAAGAAAATTAACCAATAATCTAAAAAGAACTCCTTTTTCAAGTTACTTATTATCATCTATTTTTTGGTTCACATATCTCAGTCATAACCTGGGAAGGTGGCTCAGTGGTAGAGTGCTTGCCTTGCATGCATGAGGCCCTGGGTTCGATTCCTCAGACCCATAAAGCAGAAAAAGTCAGTAGTGGTACTGTGGCTCTAGTGGTAGAGTGCTAGCCTTGAGCTAAAGAGCTGAGGGACAGTGCCCAGGCCCAGAGTTCGGGCTCCACAACTGGCAAAAAAAAAAAAAAGTAAGCTTAAAAACTCCCTATTCTTGGCCAGGCAACAGTGCTCATACCTGTAACTCTAGCTCCTGAGAAGCTGAGATCTGGGTAAAGATTGAGTTTTATGCCACCCCAAGCAGGACAGTCCATGAGACTATTATCTCCAATAAGCTACTCAGAAAAAGCTGGAAATGGTTCTATGGCTCAAGTGACAGAATGGTAGTTTTGAGCAAAAGAAGCTCTGGAACAGTGCCTAAGCCCTGAGTTCAAGCCCCCGGACTGGCACAAGAACAAAACAAAACAAACGAAAACTCACATCCTTAATCTGTCTGCATTTGCTCCTGTTAATCATACCTCTCATGCTATGATCCTCAGTGGTAAGTACAAGCAGCTATTGCTTGTATTTCAATAAAGACCCAAATAATGAAACAGAACAGGACTGGTATTAGGGATTTGGATCAGACACAATGGTCTGGCTGTGTCTATCAGGTAGTTGCAGTCCTGCAAAAAAATCACAGTTTGTCTAGTCCAGTCTTCTCATCAGTAAAATAAGGAAAATAAACACCAAAATACTCTTTATAAAGTTTCCTTCTAATTTTAAAATAACTAACTGCCATGGAAGGCTTAGGAAACTGTATGAAAATTCAACATTCTAATCAATGTAACTGTTCCCATTGTTAAGATAATGCAAGATCATGTAGGCAACAGTTTAGCACACCTATCTCAAGTAGATTTCAGAGGGTGGTATGAAGTGGACCATACACAGGACCACACCCGTAGCTTAAAGTACCTTCTGTGGGATGGTGAGAGTCCAATTCCAGGTCTCTTTGCATAGAGCAATCGAACAGCAGGGCCAGGAGTGGAGTAGAGATTACAGAAAATGAACATAGCACCAACCAGAATAGATGACGCTGCCCGTCCATCCTGTCAAAGAAGACACATACACTCATCAGGAGCAGACCAAATCTGAGAATAGCTGTTTTTGCAATGAAGGGAGGAAGAGAGCAGGAAATCCTCTTCATTAAGGGTGCCTCTCACTTTCCAGTTTTGTTCATTTGAAAGCAAAAAAAATCTATCCCAGGTATTTAAGTCACAAAGCAGCAGGGAAAAATACTTTTTTCTTGGAATAAAACTAACTCCATGCTAACTCAAGAATCGCAGTAAAATAAATTCAGCTTGCATATATTTGCTGAAAAGTAATGCAATCTTCAAAGTAACATTGGATATGTACAATAATAACTAATAGTCACAGGCTCTTGGTTCAGGAGTGGAAATTAGGAGCTGTAGGTTAGGGGTATGAAATGTATCTCACCTCAAGTCGGAACCTACATTCATAGAAAAACTTTACCTGATACAACCTCATTCAGTGTAATCTGTTGTGGACTCAAAGCTATGCCCTCTCAAATGCATATGCTGAAATCTTAATTCCCAAAGTCATGGGAATGGGAAGTAGGGATGGTTGGGACAGCAAGTCATTTTATGAGGCTGAGATCTGAGGATCAAGGTTCCGAGCCTGCCCTGACAGAAAATCAAAGAGATTGTTTCTCCAACTAACCAGCAAAAAAAGCTGGACTGGAAGTGTGGCTCAAGTGGTAGAGCACCAGTCATGATAGAGCCATGGTAGAACCTGCAGTCTGAGAACAGAGTAAGATGGCTTCTGGTGTTTGTCCTGGGGTCTCAAAGCCCTTGAATCAGGAGCTCTGACTTCTGAGAGCAAAATAAAAGAATTAATTCTCCTATCACCTTTTCTTTTGCTATCAAAGCCCCAAATAGATTGGCAACTTCTTGCCTACTCTGGAGACAGATTTTCTTTACTCAGTCTGCTGTGGTAATCGCTAACTTATTTTACAAATACACAGTCACACTAGTCATACTTGAAATAGCCTTTGAGAGATGTCCATCTGAGAGTTGTCCTACTTGCCCTAGGTCTGTCAAATTTGAAACATAAGAATCACATCTTTAAAAAAAACAGAAGTGTGAGGTCCACAGTTCAAGCCCTAGTACCAACACACACACACACACACACACACACACACACAGAATTTTGCCTTGAGCTGCCATCAGACTCTCTAGCCTATAGCTTCCCAGAATCCTTTTATTTTTCTTCCTAGGGAAAGCCCCTCCTTTCTCTTGCCTGGCCCCTTTTCTTCCTGTTTTCTCAAGGAAACACTAATCTATAATTGCTTCTCCAGGTGCTTTCAACAATCTGTCACATAAGTCCTCTCAGCAGATAATTTTCAGTACCGTGAGGCTCTCTGATTACCTACCTCACTCCCTATGGACTTTGTCTTAATTATAACTATTAACCCTATCTAGCTTGACATGTGTCCCCTTAAAAAGACGAACAGAATAAAGGTGTTGGAATAACTGTGCCTCAAGAATTTGCTGATGTGGGGGAAGGGGGCGAGGAGAAGGGTTGGGATTGGCGGGGAGGGGGGAGGCTGGGAAGGGATGTGAAGGGTAAACCAAAGGAGGAGGCTGCAATGCCCATGTAATTGTAACCCCTCTGTACAGTATGTTCACAAATAAAAAATAAATAAATAAATTAAAAAAAAAGAATTTGCTGATGTCCCTATTCTAAATACTGAAAAAGAAAAGACATTTTTCTCACTCTTCTGGGGTGGGGGGAGGCTGGAAGGGAGTGAGTAACTGAGGCCTGAACTCAGGGCTTCATCCTTTCACTTAGCTTGTTTGCTTAAGACAACAAGTATTCTCCTACTCAAGCCACACCACTAGCTTTATGCTGCTTCGCTGGAGATATGAGGAGTCTCATGGACTTTTCTGCCTGAGCAGGCTCACAACCCCAATCCTTAGATCTCAGGCTCCTGAGTAACTAGGATTACAGGCATGAGCCACCAGTTCCTTCCTGGCTCTGTCTTCATCCTCTGTAGAATTTAACATTCTTGCCACTTTTATGGGTTCATAGATCTCAGAAGTATGTTTCTTCTTTTTTTCAAATCATGCAGGTGTTTTTAAAAGTTATATTTTTATTAAAATATTGGCACATGTTTATGACTTTACAGGATAAAATTGAGGCACTTGCCTATACATTCAATTCATTGCCAGGCAGGAGCGCTGAAGCATTCTGTCAAGCAATGCCCCTTGTTTGTGTTGTTCATTGGATTTTCATTCATTATGATAACATCATTAGAACTGGGAGTCTCTAGTCTTTCTTGAGTCATTCTGAAATTCAGGCCCTTGGAACCTTTAGACATTTTTTGAAAATTATCAATGCACTCCAAATGGCTTAGCCCCTAAAAATAATGTTTTATGCAATCTTCTCTGCTTCCAAAAGGAATATCTCTGTACCTTTTGGCATTCAGTTTAACAAATGCCAAGTCCTTTGCCTTAATTTCTAAGCATTTGAAAGTAGACGTAGAAAGGAAAAAATACCCTCCAAATTTCTTCCCTGATTTTAGCCAGCTGATTCTCAACGAGAAGGGAGAAAATCATCTAGTAAAAACATACATGTTGAATTTTTAGAACTAGTGAACTATTTCTAGTATTTTTGCTTGATTGACCTGTACATTTATTTGTTCATGTAGTCATTCATTCAAACCATTTGTAAAAATTAACCTCCAGGGCTGGAAGAGGAGCTGTGGTTCAAGTGGCAGAGCACTAGCCTTGAGAAAAAACAAAGCTCAGGGACAGGCCCTGAGTTCAAGCCCATGACTGGCACTAAGGCAGGGGAATATATACATGGTTTGCTTAGAAGTAATACACTTAGCCGGGCGCCAGTGGCTCACACCTGTAATCTTAGCTACTAAGGAGGCTGAAATCTGAGGATCATGGTTCAAAGAAAGCCAGCCCGGGCAGGAAAGTCCATGAAACTCTTATCTCCAATAAACCACCAGAAAACCAGAGGTGATACTGTGGCACAAGTGGTAGAGCCTTGAGCTGAAGAACTGAGGGACAGTGCCCAGGCCCAGAGTACAAGCCCCAACACCACCACCACCAACAACAACAACAAAAAAAGTAATACATTTGTCCAGCAAGGAGGAGGCTCTAAGTTGAAACCCTAGTGTTTAATAACAATAAAAATTAAAATATAATATCAATGCATTATTAAAATAATGCTGTATTACTAAAACAATACCATATTACTATATTTTATTAATAAAATATAAAAAAACCATTTGTAAATAGCATACATGTGTTGGGGGGTGGGGAGGCACAGTTCTTTCCTAAAAGATAATCATCTACTGGGAAAATAGGGTAGGATGAGGCAGTATATTGAATGCCACTGGAGACATTTAGATTCATAGGAGGAATGCTTGTTTTATGAAAAATACTCAGAAGAATCAGAAAGATTTTACTAAAAGATGAGCTTTGATGAATAAGAATCCTAAGAGAAGCGCCTGTAGGAAGCCAAGGGCCAGAAAAACCATCAGTCCAACTGTGAATTACTGTAAAATATAGTCTGTCCATGAAACTAAACACAAGGACCTAAGTGTCTTTTCCTTTTATTTTCCTTCAAAGGCATATAACAAAACATAAATAAATGATGCCCATTTTATTCACAGAAAACTCAGTATGTGCATAGGAAACAATGTACCTCTTTTCCCTGCCTCTTTTATAGAATACTTAATTCATGTTAAAGTATGCCCTCCATTATGTGGGTTTTTGTATACAGCTGCCTTATCCACCATTACCGAAGTTATAAGCCAAGAATCACAACTTTTTCCCTTATTTTTACATGGCTCACAGCTCACGTTATCAAACTTCTAAGTAGGGGCTCAGCAAATGCAACTGCGCTCAAACCATCATTCTGGCTAGTGACATACATTTCTAACAAAACTGGACCAACAATGACAATAAGGATTTCTCACCAGGCAGTGGACAACACAGACATTTTTGGGATTCTGTAGCAGCCAGTTATACATATTCTTACACACAGCAAAGAGGTTGTGCAGACTTGGGGCCTGCCTAATGGGCCAACTGCATTCTGAGACCTGTGGAAACAGAAACAAAGAAAATGAATCCCCAAGCAGCTTCTATTGCATACAGGTAAGTGCTGGCTGGTTGTCAAGCTGTCTTGAATTGGCTAATTTTTATCTTCTCTATCTCCAGCAACTGAGTTTCACAAAAACAGAGACCATTACTTCTTCAGTTTTGTAACCTCAGTGTTCAATGCAGATGTGTTTCCCAGAGTAGATATGCTGTAGATATTTGCTGAACAAGTGAAAGAAAAAGGGAAGATACCCTTATGACAATCTGTTTCTGTAAAATGATTTGTCTGCATGTACTATGTCCTGAAGAAGAAACAGGTGAATCAAATTTGTTGGGGTTTTCTCTTTTAGATTACAACAGAGTCAATGTACAAGAAAATTATTTTCCCAGACAATATTTTTAAAGGTTTTTAAAAACTTCATACAACTCACTCACACACCAAATGTCAATATCTATAATGAGTCTCAGCCAAAAGTTGGCTAAATTGTTCTTCACACAATAGTCTAACAGCTCCAGAATCATTAAACCCATCAAGCAAATAATATTAATTTAAAGTACTCCATAATTGTACGTTTACTTCTACATATAATTATACACCATTAGGCAAACACATAATTAGGATTTTTTTTAAGTATGTGCTCTGTCGAAAGGAGGAAAAACATTAAGGCATAAACAAAAAAATCTAAAAAGGAATTCACTACACACTGTTTTCACAGCTCTATGAGCTTCTAAGTCCATGCAATAAGTACAATTCTTGGTGGTGTGACGGTTTATGATGCCATCTCAGCCTTCCTGAACACCATCTTAGCATCAGAAAATACCCCATTGAGTATGAGGTTTCATGATGCTTCCCACTAGAGAAGAAGCCAAAACATCACCAGGGCTGGGTGTCACACCATTTTCTCCCCTCCATTTCTCTAGCACAAGACAATAAGCATGTGTAGAAGCAACTCATGGGCTAAGCATGGGACATATCATCATATAAGATGATGTTTAGTAAAATGAACCCCAAGATATGGACACAAGAGGTCTGCCTTTGTTGTTGTTGTTTTAAATGTACTCTGATTTTTTTTTGGTTTCCTTTGTATGTTCTTCCTCCTATGGTATATCCCCAGTTGTCACTGTACTTGATTTTGGTATCTTGTATATACATTTGTCTAATCTGAGGAGAGGAAGGGGAATAACAAAATGGTGAAACAAGGACACAGGATGATCCATTGCAACAATGATACCCACAGGACAGTATATTGGAAACGAACTTTACAATTTTGGGTGGGGGTGGGGGGAGAACAGGGTAGAGGAGGAGTGGGAGAGGGAAGGGATAGTGGGACAACAGCAAGGGAAGGGGTAACAATGATCAACAAGTAATGTGCTCATTGCCTTATTCATGTAACTGTAACCCCTTTGTACAGCATCTTTACAAAAAAATTAAATTTTGAAAAAATGCTGCATAGAATGAGACTGACATGCTATGATCTAGCATTTCTCTATTCTCACACTGTTAATGGAAAATACGGTGTTTGAGTACATCATTTATTGTGGCATTCTATTATTAGAGGTGTCAATCACAGTTACCACTTACTGAGCACTCACTCTTAAGCCAGGAACTGCTAATCAAGAAGCCCACAGGGGGAAAATAATATAACAGTCCTTGTAAGTATTACTATCGCCATATTCATTTTGCATAAGAGATAATTGGCTTCCAGGGCAATGAAGTGACTCTAGGAAGAGGAACAGTTGAGATGTGAATGTAGAGTAATTTTTAAAGCTCAAAATTAGTGTCAATTATAGGATTTCTCTAAATAAAAATTAATGAAATGTTATGTACTCTCCACTGTACTATCCTGTCTGATGGTTGTTAACAAAAACTCTGCTTTGCATTCCTGTGGGGTGACAACTTCAAGTGATATATGTGTTGTATCCAGGTCATGGTACTGAGATCATGGAAAGTTATATAACTAGAATGTGTGATCTCTGGTCCTCTGGCTCACAAGCTAGGGACGGTTTGCTCCCTTTTAATTTCCTGTTGTGACACTAAAGCTCGGGGCAGAAGGAGAGATGACGTGAGATTGATTATGAAGGTCATTCCTCAGTAGCCACCCCTCACTAACCTCAAACCAAATCAGAAACCACTGGGAGCTGTAGGAAGCTCTCCCATGGAAGAAAAAGGGGGAAATACATCCATCCATGGGTCTTTTAAGAAGCCCAAGTCCACAAACCATTTCCTAAAAATCAAGGTGCTACCAAAGAAGAAGAAATCCTATAACCTGTATGGTTATAGTCAACAGGAAAGAAGAATTGACAAGAACCTGCTGGGCAACTGATTTCTTTTTTTTAATTTATTTTATTTTATTTGTGAACATACTGTACAGAGGGGTTACAATTACATGGGCAGGATAATGCGTACATTTCTTACCAAGCATTGCAGCCTCCTCCTTTGCTTATCCTTCACATCCCTTCCCAGCCTCCCCCCTTCTCCCCAGTCCCAATCCTTCCCCCCCCACCAACATTGTAAAGCTCATTTTCGACATGACAACTTGCATTTCTCATTGTGGGCAACTGATTTCTATGCTACTGACAGGGCTCCCAATATTCTTTCTGGATGGCCAGAGGAGAAGGAGTGGTCAAGGCAATACTGGAAAATCATTGTTCAAACTTAAGGATTTTAGGGCAAGGTTAGACAAAATGTTCTTTGATAGTTTTTATTTACTTCCAACAATAATGGCAAAAAATGAAAGGGAGCACAGTTACAAACTTAGGGGGAAAAATCACACAGTACATTATAAGTACAGTAAAAACAACAGCAACAAAGAAACCTCTTGTGTCCTTATCTTGGGGTTCATTTTGCTTAGCATCATCTTATATGGTCATATGTACATAACTTTTGACCTTTTCTGCTTGTCCTAGACATATACTAGTTATTGAAAATAAGGGAAACGATGGGACCTATGTTTCTTTGGGCCTGCCTTACTTCACTTAATATAATTATTTTCCAAGTCTTTCCATTTCCTAACAATTTCCTAACAAATGGGGTGGTGTCATTCTTTCTGATGGAGGCATAGAATTAATATATAATACATTTTCTTGATCCATTCATCTACTGAGGGGCATCTGGGTTGGTTCCATAGCATCTTGGATATACATTTTTCTAATTTGGGGAGGGGAAAGGGAAATAACAAAATGCTGAAATAAGGATACAGGTTGACCCATTGTAACAATGAGATATGCAAGACAGTATGTTGAAAACTTTACAGCTTCTGGGGGGCGGGAAGAAGTTGGGGAGGTGGAGAAGGAAGGGATGGTAGGGAAAAAACAAAGGAGGGGGTAATAATGCTCAATAGGAAATGTACTCATTACCTTACTCATGTGATTGTAACCCCTTTGTATAATATGTTACAATAAAAATATATTTTTAAAAACCTAGGAAAAAGCTAAACCAATGTGTACACACACACACACACACACACACACATCACATCACATCACATCACATCACATGGGTATGGTGCTTATGCTATTAATGATGAAAAAAAGTTTGTGTTGGGAGGGATGGGAAGGGGAAACAAAGGAGGAGGCAACAATGCTTGATAAGAAATGTACTCATTACCTTGCTCGTGTAATTGTAACCCCTCTGTACAGTATTTTCACAACAAAAGAAGAAGAAGAAGAAGAAGAAGAAGAAGAAGAAGAAGAAGAAGAAGAAGAAGAAGAAGAAGAAGAAGAAGAAGAAGAAGAAAAGAAGAAGAAGAAGAAGAAGAAAAAGAAGGAGAAGAAGAAGAAGATGATGATGATGATGATTTGGTTTAGGTTTATTGTTATAGCTCAGGTGGTGTAGCCCTTGCTTAACAAGCACAAAGCCCTGAGTTCAAATCCTAGTACTATGAAAAGAAAAGGAGAGGAAAGAAGAATATTGGTTTCTGGACTATATGAGAGTTGGACAGAACTGGTCATTTTAATTCCTCTAGGTAAATATTCCCTATAAAGAATTTAACAATTTGTCATTAATACCTCACTATATCTATATCTATCTATCTATCTATCTATCTGTCTGTCTGTCTGTCTGTCTGTCTGTCTGTCTGTCTATCTATCTATCTATCTATCTATCTATCTAGAGTCTCCCTGTATAGCCCCTACTATAAGCTTCATGCTTGCAATCCTGCCTCTGTTCCTAAAATACTGAGATTACAAGTATGAACCTCAATGCCTGCAAGCACCTCCTTTTCACTTTGGGAAGATCTTCCATGTATTGTTCTCACTTGAGTCCTCTGATAAGTGAAACTAAACACTTATTTTGATTTGGCTGCACATATGCTAAGAAAATGGCTATATAACTATTACATATGATTCCTGAGAACTCAAATAGCTTCAAAGCGTACAACATAATCAAAATATGGAACGCTGCCCTCAGCAAAGAAAAATCTTCCTAGAAACATCCTGTTTTTACCACTGCCACCTCCATCCCCAAATATTCAATCTGATAACCAAAGAGTAAAGTAACTGAGTTCAGGTCAAGGCATAGAGATATATAATGCAGAACTAGACTCTGCCAGTTGATAAATAAAACTAGTCCTATCTTAGGTCTTCCTACACTGACTGCTTATAAAGAACACTGTCTTCTACTTTAATAAAAGTAAGATTTAATTATAGAGTGAACCCTCAACTAAACAGAAAGGAGAAAGAAATGGTTCCTCATGGTCTGGAGATTCAAAACAAGGACAAGGTTTGCAGGTAGTACAGAACCAAAAGGCTAAGTCAAAAGCATTTGAAAATATTCTTGAGAGAGTTCAAGTAAAGTAAAACTTCAGTAACCAGAAATATCAGGTGCAATGTGAGAGTCACCCTCAACCTAGCTCTCATAGCTCCTTAACTAAGCCTGAAAATAGAACTATTTCTCTACATCGTTCAAAAAGGTTTTTTCAAGGGCAACCCAGCTTTTTCAAATAATACTGACAGGGTAAAGAGCACACATACCCATAGCTATTCATGAGCTGTTTAGTCTTAGGGAAGCTACCATATCTCTCTGAGCCTCCATTTCTCTAACTCCTTAGATACTTTTTGCATTATATGCAATATTACTTGCAACATTCTCACTGCAGTACGAGTGATATAGTAATGTCCACTGCTGCCACCACCATTATTAGTAATAGTACTAATAATAGTACTCCCAAACCTACAATGTGGACTATTGACAGGTATCCTCCCCTTCTAAAGAGGTATCTTTATGGGATGTCAGAAATCTATTTGCATCAAAACTGGTGCATATGGACTCTTCTAACCAAGGTATGTCCCATCATGACATCCACACAATAATTAGGAAGGTGAAGGACCTAATTACTGTTACAGGAAGGGCAGGAATCTTCCCTATGTCACAGATCAATATCTACTGGGACTTTCTGAACCATGTCGCAAAGAAGCTATCAACCACCAAGAGATCTGAGCCCCAATTCACAAGGCACAGTACTGAAAGATGAAATTTTCTACAAACGCCCTCAACCTAAGGAAAATATGCAGAACATCTCATAACAGCCAAATCAATCTGTTCTATCCAGCGTTCTTAGTTTTGCAATTTCATGTGCCTAATGTCAAAAGCTCTGAGGATATCTCCTAAGAGGAAAAATCCCTTGTGATGTCTCCAACAGTGCCATCCCAGGCGAAAATCCCTTACCCGACTGTGAAACTTGGCAGTTCGGTAAGACTTGGGTGACAGATTGTAGACTGTGTAGTGGTCCAGATGTCTGGAATCTAAGAAGCTCCGAATATCATCAACCTGATTCCTGAATCCTATGTCAACACTGTCCAGAGGAAAGGACATCACTAAAAGAGGCCACACAGAAAGAAAACAAGTGAAACAGGTCTGCTGTTTTGATGAGCAGAATTTGAAAGCTGGGGAAAAGAACAAGTTAATAAAGGAGAAACTTACCAATAATTCTGGAGGTAACATAAGTGAAGTCTAAATCTCCCTTTGTGTAGCTGAAAGTGACACAGGAAAGGGCACTCATTAAAATGATTCCAATGTGCTAAGATTTCTCACATGCCCCCCCCCTTTGCACAACATGAACTGGGACACTTCTTTCTAGAGGCATACTTAGATTCCACTCAAGTTCTTTCTAACAAGGAAGGATCATTGAGAGAAGACAGCCCACACCTTCAGGGGGTTCAAATATTCCACTCCAACTTGTGCATCCCAATGCCCCATGGAGGCTTCTTCTAGAACAGAATCATCTTAGAATAGAATCCCTGCCTATTTATTAACTCTAATTGCTCTAGCCTCTCTGCTTACATGGAAATCTTTCCCTTAACTATGAGTAGCTAAGGGAAAGAGGAAGAAGTGATTGACAAAGAACAAATGATAACTTTTTCTTATTGTTAAGAACTAGAAGAGTAAATTTTACCTCTGAACAAGATTAAAATGTTAATGAATATATTGGAATTGACATTTTAATTTCTGATTCAAAATTTCATATTGTAACTTAAAGTAACCCTGTGATTTCATAATAACTAAGAATAAAAATAATTTCCGCTATTTTGTAAGAATGTTCAAGTGGTAGCAGAATAGAAAACTTCCACTAAATAAAATTTCAAGGACTAATATAATGCAGAAAGTTCTGTTTTGATTATAATCCACAGGTATTGCTTACTCTGATTGCATGTGCATGATTGCCTCATTTAATCCTCAAGCTATCCCAGGACACCCACATGATCAAGGGATAAAAATAGAGTTCAGAAAAAATAAAAATAAGTCATGTAATTCATAAACTTGCCTTGAGTAACATGGCTAACAAACACAGAGATTGCATCAGCACCCAGAACGTCTGATCATAAAGCCAAGGATGGCAACCGTCACACTCTAATAGACTCCTGAGCAAAGTCCTCCCAGATGGTTCTTATCACCTCTAGCTGACTCAACTTTCTAGTTTCAGTGACGCTCCTCATTTGTTCAGATCTCATGCAATTAGATCACAAGCTGATACTGTGTGAGTCAAGCAGTTGGGAACTGACCAAATCCCATGGGAGAATGAGGTTCCACTAACCTAAACCAAGAGGAATGCACTTACCTGGCGACAGATTGTATGACTCTAGAAGATGTGTCTTTGAGGGTGTCTTTCAAGTTGTCCTTTAGGTTACTAAAAAGCCTCCCTGCACCACCTTTCACCATGTCAAAGAGGCCTCCCCCATAGCTGGGCTCCATGTCTGGAGATGAGGCACCTGCCAAGGGAAAGGGAGAAGAGGAGTTAATAGCACAGACTATGTCAAGAACACAATCCCTCTTCATTCCCACAACGCTCACAGACCATCTTGAGCCTCAGACTCAAGATTCTCCTCTCTTAATTTCCAGTGGTTTGGGATTATGGGCATGCTCCACCACAAATATCTTCCTGTTTGTTTTGTTTTGTTTTGTTTTGTGCCAGTCCCGGGGCTTGCACTAAGGGCCTAGACACTGTTCCTGAGATTTTTGTGTTCAAGGCTAGCACAACACTCAACCACTTGAGCCACAGCTCTACTTCCAAGTTTTTTTTTTGGTGATTAATTAGAGATAAGAGTCTCACAAGACTTTCCTGCCTGGGCCAGCTTTGATCCTCAGATCTCAACCTCTTTAATAGCTTAGGATCATAGGCATGAACCACCAGCACCCAGTTTCCTCTGTGCATTTTAAGTGCTACAATGCTATCCATGGCATCTCCAAGGTTTCCAATGATAGAAACAAAGACTGCAGAGATACTCCCTCAGCTCCTGACTCAAGAAAATGCCATCCTCTCTCCATAGAACTTGGGGGAAGGCCAAGAACCAATGTTGCTGCCATCCAGACTTCTTTGACCTCCTCTGGCAGTTTATTTAGCTCTTGGTTTTCTAGCAAATAGGAAAAAGGATCAGATGGACATGATAGTCAACTATACCATGGGAAAGCTCACTGCCTTAGCTTCCAGAATCACAGAGTGCTTGGCATTGCTGTCCATACATCCTACTCTAGGGAGGCCTCAGGGGGAAAAAATGGACTTTAGGGAGAAATGTCTTAGACTTGAGGTATGGTATTTCTACTTAAATACCGTATGATTGTGTTTTAATGAATTATAAGCCTCTAGGAATCATTCCCCCTTACAAACTGGAACTAACTAAAAACAAAAGCTTTTGCACATGGTAGAAAAGTATTACCTCTTTGGTAATAGCAAGATCAAAGAAGACCGTGTGTGATATGAGTTTGAAGTAGCAAGGCCTTTGTATTGTTTTTGTCAATACTGAGGATTGAACGCAGAGCCTTGCACTAGTTAGGCAAACATGTTATTATGTGAGCTGTGCCCTTGGTCCTGCAATATTTTAAATGAGCAGGTAAATTAATTTTAAGCCTTAGAAATTCAGCTGTCATTATAAATGAGTCTTCATGGATTGCTTACCACAAAATGAACTCAGGGCCTGTTTGCTACTGTCCCTTAGCTTTTTCACTCAAGGTTGGTGTTCGACCACTGGAACACAGCTCCACTTATGACTGTTTTTGGTGTTTACTTGGAGATAACAGTATCATGGACTTTCCTGCCAATGCTGACTTCAAAGTGTGATCCTCAGATCTCAGCCTCCTGAATAGTTAGAATTACACGTGTGAGCCACCAGTCCTGGCCATACTTTAAAGATTTTAAAGACCAAATATGGTCTTTTTCCATAGACCAATTGATTTGTATTTCCCTTCTGCAATTAGCTGTATATATAGCACAGAGCACATGCATAACTGGTCCAAGTCCTGATTGTCTTATATAAAGAATGAAAGCACTTATAAAATAGCACATAGGATTGTGGACTGAAACCATGAGCCAAAATAAATCTTTCCTCCTTTAATGTCAGGTGTCTCTCCCCAGTATCAGAAAGCTGACTAGCATAACCAGAGCACAGACAAAGGATGTATTTTAATTACAAAGACATAGACAGATTGCTGCAAAGATTGAGAAAAGATTGCCCGTGCAAAACAGCAGAAGAAAGCAAGTATGGTATATCTACTTCAAAATCAGACAAAATACAAGGACTACTCACTCCAGAGATCAAGAGGAATGTTTCATAATATAAAAAGGGCCAAATTTTTCCAAAAGTTATTATAATTCTAGCCATGTAATAGTGGCTCATGCCTATAATCCTAGCTTCTTAGCAGGCTGAAACAAGGATTGTTGTTTAAAGCCAGCCCAAGCAAGAAAGTCAATGTGATTCTTACCTCCAATTAGCACCATAAAAGCTGGAAAATGAACTGTGTCTCAAGTGGTAGAGTGCTAGCCTTAAGCAAAACATCTCAGAGACAGTGACCAGGCCCTGAGTTCAAACCCCAGGACTGGCACCAAAAAAAAAGATATTATAATCCTAAAGATTCAGCTTCAAATTACTTTAAAAAAAGTATACAGAACAATAGGAATAAAGAGACAATCTTGCCAGTGCTGATGACTCACACCTGTTAAGCCTAATTACTCAGGAGGCTGAGAGCTGAGGATCACTGTTTGAAGCCAGCCAGAGTAGAAAGTCCGTTAGACTCTTATCTCCAATCAAGCAGCAAAAAGCTGGTCCAAGTGGTAGAGCACCATCCTTGATCGAAAAAGCCAGGTGAGAGCTCAAGGCCTTGAGTTTAAGCTCCAGTACCAGGAAAAACAAAATCTACCAACATAGAGGGATAATTTTTAATCTCTCTCAATAATAATGATAGAATAGGTAGCTAAACTGTAACTGTATGTAGACTAATTAAGCAATATTATCTTAGGCTGCTCATGTTATTATAATAAATTACCTGAGGCTAAATAATTTATGAACAATAAAAACGTGTTTCGCATTGATCTGAAAGCTAGCAAGTCCAGAATCAAGGTAGTGACAGGTTGAGTATCAAGTTAAAATTTTCCATTTCTTCCATCATCTAGGTGTCCTGAGATGGCAAGAAAAAAAATGGAAAGACAAAAAGGAGCAAAAGGCCAGGAGACACCAAAGTCAAGGACATACATAAAAAGAAAAAGTATTGAAGCTGAGTGCCAGTTACCACTTTGCAAGAGACTGGGTTAAACTCAGTCAACACTGAAAGGTGGGTATTTTAGTGTCTACAAAACAGAGGAGGAGGGAGGGGCACCCTGAGATAGCAAGTTAGAAGTCTGAAGACCACAGACAGGTGTACACACAGACAACATGCTGGAAGCAGGCCATGGTGTTATTTCTGTGGAGCACTGGGAAGATGAAGAGGATATGTAAGAGAAGGGTGAATGAAGCTCAAAGGTGAGTGTTCCCTGGATCCCAGCAGGCTTGAAAGTCAAGCTCAAGAATATGAGCATTTGTGCTTTCAGACCCCACACTGACAGAACCGTGAGCAAAAACTAGGTATCACAGCAGATTTCTAAGAAGCTGTTCATAAAGCAGATTAATATAGCTCAGACAAATGGGTTAGCATTTCCCCAGGGATAGTGGATACGTTAGTGCGTATATTACCAACCAGAGTTCCATCTCTGGACAGCTGAAGCAAAGTTTAAGGCAGTACTTCAACATCTAATTGCCAGATAAATGTGTAAGTGAGTATCTCAGTACTAAGTCATGCCAAGCATACAAATGCTCAATGAGGCTCAGTAAATTCAGGGTGAGGATGCATCTAAATGCTGACTCAACAGGGAATGCAGACACTCTGAAGATAAATCCTGGGATGGAAGAAAAAGAATCCCACAGCATCTGGAGGAAAATCATCTTCCTAAGTGCTAAGAAAACTTGTTAGTCCTTCATTTCACTGATCTCAAGGGCAAAGAAAAACCACTGCTATTTGTGGAACAAGCTTCTGGCATAGACTTAGCTTATGGAGATATTCTACAAATGTCTGACCTCTTTCTCTCAGTATAGAAAACCTTGTCAGTGAGAAGGCTGGCTTTCATGCTTGGCCAGACTTGGTAAACCATATAAATCTGGACTCTACATAGCAGACCTAAGCTAAATCCCATGCACCTAAAGCACATCCCTACTTCTGGGTAGTGAAAGCCTGGGTCTCCTTTCACTCAAAAATGACTTCCATGTGCTACTTTTGCAAAGAGTCGTAACTCAAAAGACCACTGCTAAAGACCTAAAAAGGAAAAGGGGTGCCATAAGAACATGGCTACCCAAGCTAATGGTCACACCTATAATCCCAACACTTGGAAAGCAGGCAGGAAGATCATAGGTTTAGAGTTCAAGATCACTTTGAGATATGTAGTGAGATTGTCTTAAAAGATGTAGGAGGGGAGGTAGTCTTAATAAGTAAATAGACCTGGATTTACAACAATGACCTTCATTCCTTAATACCTTACATTAATGTCTCTATGCCTCAGTTTCCTCAATTGCGCAATGGGAGCAGAAAATAATTTCCTAGTAAGTACATGATAGGGCTTAAATTCAAGAATGACAGGTTAAAGAATAGAATCAAATTTGATATGATTCTGAACATCCCTTGAACATGCTACTTAAAAGTTGAAGTGTTATTCATTTATCCCCCCCAAAAAAAATCACCAACTCTGCATCAACTATCACAAATTCTTGCAGTTACTCTTGTATATATAGTACTAAACTATGCTTCATCTGTAACTCCTTCAGAGAACTTTTTAGTGAGTAAATAAAACTGAGGCATTCTGCACACAAAAACAGAATGATAGGTAAGTACTATGGACCAGAAGACACCATAGATAATGATGTCTTCTTGTTCTAATATGGGAAAGAAAAGAAGATCCTGTAAGTCAAAAGGAAACAGAGGAGTTGGGGGGGAGGAAGGTAAGGGATGGGAAAAGAAGGGAAGGAGGGAAAGTAGAGGAGGAGAAGTGGGGAAGGGAGGGGAAGCAAAGGGGGAGGGGAAAGAAAGGAAGGAAAAGGAAAAAAGATGACAAGGAGAGAAAAGAGTACATAAGAAGGAAAAAAACAGAGAATGGTGTATATTTTGGAACTACCATATTCAGAAGAAATGCCACTAACTTGCTGTGTAGACAAGAGAAAGTCTAACATGCCTTTATCAGAAAATCCCCACAAAGATTAAATCCATTAAGACACACTGTCACATTTACAACTTAGCCCTAAGTAAAAATTTGCAGGACTGAATTAACTAAACATTACTCATAGTGGATCACCAACTGGGTCTCAGAAGACTTTTCCTCATCTGGAGACTCTTATTGCAATGGATTCAAAACATACAGAGATCAAGAATCCCAGAAATGGTCTCCAAAAGGGAATCCTCCCCTGTAGTTCCATCC